GCCTGTGTTGTGGGTCCCGGTGTTACGGCTTCCCTGTCCATTCACACAACTGATGGTTGATGCCACTCCAGCCCAGAGTGTGGTGCAGATTGGCAGCCAGCCTGGGAAAGGCAGTTAAAAAGCACGTCCTCAACAGAAACCAGAAGGTCCCTTCAAGGTTACTGTAGAGGGACAAGCATTCATAGTCGAAATTAATTTTGTTAAGTGTTGGCTGGCAGTATTGGCCCCCCTTTTGTGGAAATGCTCCAGGGCTGAGCCTTGTGGCTCTGAGGCTCACCTGTAGACCAGGTGAAGCAATCTAGGAACCCTGGGGTTGCCATGGCAATAGGTGAGTGCATAGATGTGAAGGCTGGGCCACCTCTGGAGCCCGACCCCATGTGCACAGCATGCAGCTGTCCTGTGTCCACCAGAGCCTGGGCCACCCAGCTGCTTGGGGCCTCCCGAGCCACGTGTGCAGTCCCATGTGTGCAGACAGTTGAGGACTGGCTGGGCTCTCGGGGCCTGCTGACGTCACCAAGGCAGGGGAGGGAGGCCGACTGCGTGCACACTGATTGCCTTGTCTGCTAGGAGAGCAGGAGCGCATCATGCCCTCTGGCCTCACCACCGGCCCTTCCCTGGGCCGGGGCAGCCCAGCCATGAGAGAGATGGAGCCCAAGGACCAGCAGCTCATGGTGAGCATCCTCCCTTATATCCCCTGCGGGCCCTGCGGCTGTGGGTCCCTGATGCCACCTCCTGCTGGCCCACTGCCTCAGGTTCCTGCTTGGCACAGGTTAGGTCTCAGGGCTGCTGGTCCCTGTCAGGGGCCCTGCCTCTGCTCCCTCTCTGCCTCCTCACCCCCTACCCCATGATCTCACTCCCCAGCAGCCTCTAGACCCCCTAGGCTGTAAGACCCATCTGCTGGGGGCCTTGGAACTTCAGCCCACTTGGTGGTGGATGAGTTGAGGCCCCAGGCTTGCTCTGCACCCATTGGCTGGTTACAGAAAGACCCCTGTTGTAAAGCAGGGGGTCCCTGGTGCAGTGGGAGAATGGGGAGCAGCCTGGTGGCACCCCTGGAAAGCCGCTGCCATGGTGTCCTGCCTACAGGTAGCACTTCGGATCCGCCCACTCAGTGACACGGAACTGGAAGAAGGGGCCACCGTCATCGCCCACAAAGTGGGGGACCAGGTGAGGCTGCGAGGGCACAGGGTGTGTGTCCATGGGGTTCCGATGTTCACCTTCTGCAAGCACTTCCCTGACCTGAGAAGTGTTAATACTGCGTGCTTACAGTGGCCAGAGGTGAGAGAGACACAGGGACCTGTCCCCACTGCGTTCCTTTCCAGCCGGGGGTGGGGGTGGATGCTGCATAGAAATATGTACAGTGTCGGGGAGCTCACTGTCCTAGAGGAGCAAGCCGGGCAAAGGTGGTGGCGCTCTAAGACCTTGAGCAGCGCCTAGAGGAGGCAGGAGAGGGAGACCCAGGCCCGGGGAGGGGTCACTCAGAGGGCATAGGGGCAGGAGGGGCAGGTGACAGCGGGGCTTGCCGGGACCCCTGCTCCTCGGAAACGTCCCAGATGCTGAGCTGTCTGTGCAGTTTAGAAGTGTTGGCACCTGGGAGTCACATGCCAGAATAAATGCCACATGTCAGGTAAGACAGATTTTTGTCAGATGAGCTGGATTTTTCCACTTGTCGTTAGAAGGGCAGCTCTAATGGGGGATTGAATGTAGCTTTTGGGAGTAGGTTTGCACTTCAGAGGTGCAGGACCAGGATGCTGGGGAGCCCTGGCTGTGCTCCCCACCAGGTAGAGATACCCACTACTGACCTGGCAGGTGGGGAGCTCCGGAGCATGCTGCGGGAAGAGGAGATGGTTGGAGTGTCCGAGCTGTGCAGACATCTGGGAGTGCACTGGGCAGAGGCTGCAGAGCTAGTGTTGAATTCGTGGATCGAGGGTCGTTAAACTGTGGGAACAGAGTTGTGCAGGAAAGAATTTGGCTTAGGTGTGAAGAGTGTACGTGTTCTTAATTCAGAAGCAGCCTTGATCTTGATACACTCGTGCCGTAAGTGCACTGGGGGTCAGGATGCTGCAGGAGATAGATGGAGGGTTCAGGACCCTGGCTGTTCCTGTGTCACGCAGGGCTGGGTGACCAGCTGGAGCAGGGCAGGCAGGCAGGGGTAGGGCTGCCCTGTGCACGGAACAGATTAACACACATCAGAGGAGGAAGGGAGCACCCTTTTAAATAACTTCTAAGGCAGAAATAGTTTGCTGGAATCAACAGTGATTCTCAGGATAGCATCACTGGTCCCCAAACCTCAGTACTGGCCTGGGAGTGTCCCCACTGTCCACGGTGACTCTCGTCCTACCGGATGCTGGAGGCCTTGTCAGCCACATCCCAGGGAGGTGACTGACCCACATGTGACAGATGTTCCCTGCGGGCCCTGGTCCTGGGCAGCTCCATGGACATGAGCGCTGCCCAGAGATTCCTGCAGTTCACGGTGAGAATATCTCCCACATCCCTGGCTTTGAGGATCCAGTGACTTTAGGGAAACAGGACACGTCTGGATCGTGGGGAGGGGAAATGGCTTTAGTCAGTTGGAACTTCACATCACCCACGGCCACGGTCCTTCCAAAGCCTTGGATATTGTGACTTGGTTGGCCTGCTGGGCAGAGGTGGGGTTGTGTGTGCGAGGGTGACAGTGCCATCCACGGGGCCCCCGGGCGCTCTCCACCCTCCCTTCCCCCATGTCCATCTGCTCTACCCTCTGCTCCAGGGTCCCTCAGAGGCCACCTGGGGCCCAGTTCCTACAGCCTCCTCCCTCTGTGCTGCACAAAACAGATCACTTTTTGCACACTAAAGTGAGAGGTCCTATAACATAAGGTTCGTGGTTTCAGAGTGAGCCACTCAGGGGCTGTTAGGACATGTACATCCTTGTGCAGACACCACCTCTGTCCAGTTCCAAATGGTTCCTCCTGCCCAGAAAGAGGCTTGCCCCCTCTGAGCTGACCCCCATGCCCTCTGCCAGCCCCGGGCCCCTGCGGTCGGCATGCTGTGGGTGTTTCACATGACCAGGGTCCTGTGGGGCGTGGGCTGCACATCTGGTTACTCCCACCCAGTGTGGTGGTTTTGAGGCTCATCCCCATTATGACATGTTCACATTTCCTTTTAACTTTGTGTGTATGTGTGTGTTTTAAAGATTTCATTTATTTATTCATTCATTCATGAAAGACAGAGAGAGGGAGAGGGAGAGAGAGAGAGAGGCAGAGACACAGGCAGAGGGAGAAGCAGGCTCCATGCAGGGAGCCCGACGTGGGACTCGATCCCGGGTCTCCAGGATCAGGCCCTGGGCTGAAGGCGGCGCTAAACCGCTGAGCTACCCGGGCTGCCCTAACTTTGTGTTTTGACCTGACTTCAGACTAGCCAGAAATGGTGAGACCCACGTAAGATCTCCTATGTCTGCAGCCACATTTCCCACTGTGCTGGGGGTGGGTGGCAGCACCAGGTCACGTCTGCTCCATCCTCCTCTCTCTGTGTGTTTACACACTCCTTGTCACTGGGCTGCTTGAGACATCGTGCCCCTCCATGCCCAGAGATGTCCATATGGATTCCTTAAAATCAGGAATATTCTGTGACCCCAGTACAGTGACCAGAGTCAGGAAGTTACTACTGATATTACCCAATTCTCACAAGCATTCACTATTGGCTGATTTCTCTCAATAATGTTATTTATAGGGACGCCTGGGTGGCTCAGTGGTTGAGCGTCTGCCTTTGGCTCAGGGCCTGATCCTGGAGTCCTGGGATCGAGTCCCGCATCGGGCTCTCTGCATGGAGCCTGCTTCTCCTCCCTCTTCCTATGTCTCTGCCTTTCTATGTCTCTCATGAATAAATAAATAAAATCTTTTTAAAAAAATGATGTTATCTATAGCAAAAAAAAAAAGAGTTTCTCGGGTATAAGAGCTACTGCAGCTGATGCTTCTTGGACACTGAGCACGTGGTCGCTTGTACCCCTTACAGTGTGTTCTGTTACCACGTCCATCCTACAGATGGAAAAACAGAGCCCACGGTTGTGGGGGGGAGCCTGTCCTGATGCCCAGTTCCTCCAGGATTCTGGCCTGGCTTCCAGCGAGCATACACGGCAGGAACTATGTGGATGGGGTGGAGGGCTGGCCCCTGAGTCCCTTTCCTGAGATCCTCTCCACGACTACATGGAGAAGAACTTGAAGTTTAACAGGTTCAGCTTGTGTCATGGAAATCATGCTGGCCTGAAGCCGGGGCAGGCCCCAGGGGCTGCTCCCTGCACCCCTGCCCCAGTCCCCAGGAACCTCTGGGCAGCCCTTGCCTCCCAAGGTCTCTGTTTCCAAAGCTGTGGACCCAGGGAGGGGATGGCAGGGTGGGGGGCTGCAGGGGTGGCCAGGCTCTGGGTCTGCCCAGTGTGCCCTCAAGGCTCCAAGGGCTTCCCCCACCCCCTACCCCTGCCCCCAGGCCCCCCACCAGCCCTGGAGCTCCTCCTGTAGTAAACAGAGCTGATTGGTCTCTAATTGCCCTGCCCCACCTCCTCCTCCCCTGGGAGAGTCTCCTTTGAACCTCCTGGTCCCCCAGAGACCTTCCTACACCATGCTTCATAATTACGTATTTGTGTGAGATGGGAGTGCCCCAAGGAGGGGGCCACCACATATGCTGACTTGGAGAAGCAAAGAGGGGGCTGCAGAACTGGGGGCAGCGGGGTGGGGGGTGGGTAGATGGGTGGGGCACGCATGCACAATCAGGGGTGCCTGGGGAGTGCAGCAGGCCTGAGGGGTGCAGGAGCCTGGAGAGGAAGTGGAGAGGATGCCTGGGGGTGGAGTCCCCCAAGTCCCCTGCAGAGAGAGGCCTGCAGCCCTCCTGGGACCCAGACCAAGACCTCAGTGCATCAGGCATCGTGGAGGGAGGGCCAGGCCTGGGGTCCTTGAAAATGCAGGAAGCCAGCCCTGATTCTGTGGGCTGCTCCTCCTCTGAGGCCTCCCTCCTGCTGCCCCTAGATGGTGGTGCTCATGGACCCCAGCGAGGACCCCGAGGACACGCTGCGCACACACCGGTCTCGGGAGAAGACCTTCATCTTCGACACTGTTTTCGACCAGCACGCATCACAGGTAACCTGTGCCCCGACACCGCCCCCACCCCAACCCCTCCCCCTGGGCCAGGCTGGCTGTGGGGTCCTCCCCAGACCCTGCAGCCCCTGGGGGAGGATGTGATGGCCAGGTGGTCCTCTCCAGCACTTGTCACAGGAGTCTCCCTGCTGAACAAGGAGTCTGGCACTTGGGTCATCCCAGGGGGCCTGGGGTTCACACACATTCTCACTGGTCCAACCAGACAACCAGGTGGGGTCCCCATCCAGTGAGGGAGGTGAGTGATGCATGAGCACTGTCGGGAGCAAGGCGTGTGGTGGTGAGCTGGAACCTGAAGGAGGGAGAGCCAGCTGTGATAGCAGCAGGCGACATGGGGCTGGGGCAGGCAGTGGCTGGCCCTTCCAGAGACCCAGATAGAGAGCAGGAGTTTGGACTCAGCATCAGTTGTTCCCCCTAGCACCCTTAAACCAAGGATGGAGTGGTTTGTTCAGGTGGCCTTCAGGTCACCTGAACCTGGCCAGTGACAGAGGTCTCATCACCCCAGGCTATGAGGGGAGCCTGGGGAGTCCGGCAGAGCTGGATGTAAACCCGGGCCTCAGCGGTGGGAATGTCACACCTGCCAATGTCAGGGTGACGCTTTCTGGGGGACGTGTGGCCCAAGACCCAGCCAAGTCAAGGACATGGCCCTGCTGTTGCTGTCAGCCTTGCTCCAATCCAGTGGCGGAGACCCCTGGCACTGCGCCCCACATCCTCAACCGCCAAAGAACCACGGGCTCCTGCTTCTCTCCTGGTTCTCGATTGCAGCGGGCCAGAGTCCCCAAAGCCAGGATGGGAGACAAGAATGCCCTGCCATCTTTCCTGACTCCCAGGTCCACAGGAATCAGCCGCTTTTCATCCTGTACAGGGAGGGGGCTGCGCTCACCTGAAGGCCCCTTGCTGGCCATCACTGGGTGCTGGTGGCTTGGAGCTCACTGGGGCTGTCACCCGGAGCGCCCACATGTGGGCAAAGCGGAAGCCGCCAGACCTCAGGGCTTGGCCCACAGCTGGCGTGGCGTTCCTTCTGCTGTGCTCTCCTGGTCAGACTCAGGAGCGAGTCGGGCTAGAGTCTGGGAGGAGTGGCAGGGAGGACGCAGCCATCTTCAGCCCAGCCCTGCCCGTCCTGGCAGTCGAGTGAGCAGGACCTATCTCAGACACACTGGCCACCCCGGGGCATTGGGACTGTCCCCCTCCCTCGGGACTCGACCACAGTGTAAAGAGGACGGAAGACCTTCGTGGGGCTGGAAGTAGGAGGGCTCTGGTCAGCAGCACGGGCTGTCCTTGCAGGCATGGCCTGGATGGTCTTGCCAGCCTCTCAGCAACCCTGTAAAACGTACTGCCATATGGTCCCCGTTTTACAGGTGGGGGAACTGAAGCTTCTGGAGCCCATCCTGTAGTGCGAGGTCACAGCTAATCGCAGGGCCAGGTCTCAGTCTCTGAGGGTATGAGTCCAGAGCTGAGGAAGGCAGTGCTGGTGCTCAGATACTATCTCCAGCTGCTCTGCGCCATGTGACCAGCCAGGGCTGGTGGGACCGTTCAGGGACAGGAGAAGCAGGGTCCTGATGGGCACCCGGGACGGACAGAGGAGGTGGGACTGTCATTTCTGTGGAGCCAGCCACGCCTACACTCCTGGAAGTGTCCCTTTGGGCAGGGAGCTCACTACTACACCTGTTGCTAGGCACTGCTTACAAGGGATTCTCGTGGCCTAAGATGCTCAGGCCTCGATTTTGTCCCTTATGGAGGAGTCCTAATGCTCTTCACAGACTTGCCAGTCTCAGGCATTGTGTTTGACTTCTCTAGGTTCTTGAGAAGCCATGGAGAGGACCCGTGAGTGCCTAGCACCAGACACGTGTAAGGCCTCATGCCGGGAGCTGTCTCTGCACTCTCGTGTCAGCCTCCCTGGCGGCTGCTCAGGGGCCTGGCCCCGTCTCACCCCGTGGGGCGGGGCAGCAGTGGGACGGGGACTGGAGCCCATGCTGTGTCTGGAAGGGCCTCTTCCTGAGAGTCCCTGGCTACATGCAGACCTCGCATGCTTGTCCTCTCCAGCAGCCCGGCGCCTGGACTCTGGCTGGGCCGCTTGTTCCACTGTTTGTCCTTCTGTCCGTCCACAGGAAGACGTGTATCGTGCCACCACCCAGCACTTAGTGGAAGGTGTTGTTTCTGGATACAACGCAACAGTGTTTGCTTATGGCCCCTCAGGTACTGCCTAGCAGCGTCCCAGGAGGGGGCAGGGCTGGTGGCCTCGGGGCTGTCCCTACCAGCGCAGACGGAGCACTGATCATGGCCCACCCAGTGCTGCGCTGGTCTCCGTGTACCTGTTGGCTCCTTCCATCCTTGTAGCAGCCCCAAAGTCCAGGTAGAGCCATCCTCTTCCTACAGACGACAAAGCTGAGCCTCAGAGACATACAGTGGCTGCTGCCCCAGGTCACACAGCTGGTAGGAGTGCATGGGGACCCAGCTGCACCTGCACCTTGCTGCCCACAAGGACCCACAGGCTTGTCCATAGCCCCCAGAAGGCTTGACGGAGGTCCACAAAGCTGCGCCACCTCTTGTTTCCTGAAAACTGTGATCCCAGAGGGCCAGGGCAGATGGGGAAACCAAGGCCTGAGACGCGCCTTGCCCAGAGTCACAGCCTGTTGGTGTCATTCATTCAGTAGATGTTAGCAAACACCTACTGTGTGCCAGGCACTGGCAGAGGAAGAGCCATCTGATCCTGGGTTTTGGGAGCAGGGACAGGGGAGAGAGGCGTCCTTGGCGACAGCTCTCTTCCTGTTATTGTAGGAATAGCACCCATGTCTCAGAACTGGGGGAGGGGCACACACCCCGTGGTCTTTCCTGCTCCCCTCGCTATTCAGCCTGCGTCTACACGATGGTCCTGGTGCCCCCGCGCCCACGGTTTCTCCCACAGAGGAGCCATCAGACTCTTCCTTGTTCCCAAAATGGAAGATGAGCATGTCTGAGTGTTCAGGACATTTGGCCAACATAAAGGAGGTGTGAGCCATCTCTTAGGGGCGCGGTGCGTGTCCAGGCGAGTCAGAGCCCGCCTCAGGAATGCCCGCCGTGGTGGGTGTCCCCCCGCAGGTGCAGGGAAGACCTACACCATGTTGGGGATGGACGCGGAGCCCGGGATCTACCTGCAGACCCTCGCCGACCTCTTCCGGGCTATCGAGGAGATCCGTGACAGTGCAGACTGCAGCGTGTCCATGTCCTACCTCGAGGTGAGCCCGCCTAGCTGCCTCGGCTGCCCCATCCATGACATGGGTGCAGCCATTCACTACAGCCCTCTGTGTGTGGCCCCTGATGCCCACCGGCCTCATGGAAAAGCCTTAGCCCTCCGGGCATCTGAGACTGCTCTGGGGATGCAAGGCCCCTGTGATCAAGTCCTGCCCTGCTTTTGCACCAAAGCTACTTTCTTTCCCGCTTTTGTCTCTCCTCCCAGATTTATAATGAAGTGATCCGAGATCTCCTGAACCCATCCTCTGGGTTTCTGGACCTGAGGGAAGATTCTAGGGGCAGCATCCAGATCGCAGGCATCATGGAGGTCTCTACCTCAAACGCCCAGGAGGTGAGGGTCACAGAGGGAAGTAGGCCTCGGCCTCGGCAGCCACCCTTGCCAGAGCTCACCAGCAGAGCCGCACCCGCAGCCCCCCGCCCTTGTTTCTTGGCTAATGGGGTGACAGAGGCTGTGGTTGGAGCAGACATCGCTGATAGACCACCATGCCCTTAGCAGCATCCCTTGTGGGGTTGGGTCAGGGAGCCTTCCTGCTTGTCCTCCCTCTACTGCGGCTCGCTGGCTTGGTTCCCATGGTGGCTTGTGCACAAACAGGTTTCAGCCCGCCTGCCAGCCAGCGAGCCCATACGACTGTGGGGTTCTGTGGTGGAAAGTTCTGGGACTGCCCCTGGCTCTGTGGGGAAGAGGAGGGTAATCCAGTGGCGGTGTCTGCAATACACAGAGCAGGGGGAGGGTGGTACAAGCGTCCACTGGTTGACGGAGGATTAATCGGTCACTCTGTGCTGCAAACCAAAAATTGCTTCCACTGGATGAGGTTCTGTTGGCAAAGAACTGTCCAAGAGGGCTCAAGGGACCAGCGCTCCTCTCTCGGATTGGGTGGTTCCAGAGGGAGCGTGTGGCCTCCCATGGGCCCCAACCACCCACCCAAACCCACCTGTGTCTTCAGATCATGCAGCTGCTCACCAAAGGCAACCGGCAGCGCACGCAGGAGCCTACGGCCACCAATAAGACGTCCTCTCGCTCCCACGCCGTGCTGCAGGTCACTGTGCGCCAGCGGAGCCGTGGCCCAGATTTGGTGGAGGAAGTGCGTGTTGGGAAGCTCTTCATGGTGGACCTGGCAGGCTCAGAGCGGGCATCGCAGGTTCTCTGACGTCCCTCCCACCCCTCCCACCTCCCCACACTTACTCACCTGTGGCCTGTGAGCGGGGTGCTGCCCCTCCTTGTCCAACAGGTTTTCAGTGCTTAGAGCTGTGCTTGGCCCAGAGAGGCGTCGCTCATTAACCAGTGATAGAGTGAAGGGAGTCTCATTGCGTGTTGAGTGGCCAAGTCCACTGAGCCAGTGTTTACAAATTTACGGTTCCTGCATGGCTGGCTCTCCTGTTGGGTGAACATCACCCAGACCCAGGGAGCTCTGAGCCTCTGGGGAAAGAGAGTTATTTGAGTGGATAACTATGGCACAGGTGGGCCTGTGCTTTGAGATTCCGGGTCTGCATGGAGGCTGTGGGAGCCCAGAGGAGGGCTGGGTGGTGGGGTGGGGTCTTAGGGCTGAGCCTGAGAGGGGCATTAGGAGTTTGGTGGGATGCAGGGAAGGGCGTGTCAGGTGGAGGGAACAGTGTATGTCAAGCATGGCTGTTGGGAGGACGGCACCCAATTTACTGTTTTTTTAAGTCCTGCCTTTTTTAAGACTGACCTGGCTGATGGCCCCAACACTCCTTCTCAGGGTCCCACTTGCCTGTCCCTGAGCTCTTGTTTCACTTGTCCTTTGTGGCACCTGTCACTGGGAGAGGGCAGCTTATCTTCTGCTGTCCCAGGCGCCTGAGCCTTCTTTGAGGGCAGGACCCAGCCCAGGGCCAGGCTGGACAGAGGCAGTGTCCACATGGTAATGTTATCAACAAACGGCCCTTAGCTGATATGATCCACGTAATCCCCAGAACAGTGTAAGGTGGGCAGCAATGTGGAGCTGGGACCTGGCAGTACTGTGACTTGGCCGTGTTAGGCCGTGGGTGCAGGCTTTGGACCTGGGGTCATTTTGCCCAAATCCCTGCCTTCTGCTGCTGTGATAGTTGTCTTCCAGTTTTTGATCACTGAGTCATTTTATCCATTCACTGACCTGCCCTGGGCCTGGCTTGGTGCTCCAGTTGCTAAAATGAGCAGGGCCTGGCCAGCTGCTAGAGTCAGACTGGTTTAAAATGCAATGTGTTTGTAGAAAATGTGAGGCACAGGAGGGCCAGGAGACCAGGAGCTGACTGCCATTGGAAAGGTGGTCTTTACTCAGTTCCAAGAGGAAGGGGCATGGGATGCCACATGGGGCCACATGAGACAGCACCAGGGCTGGTCAGGAGGCAGGGGGTGATGCTGTGGGGGAGAGCCTGCTTATGGTTTCTGGGGAAGGCAGGGGAGAGGTGAGCGGGCTGGGGACTGACTAGTCTGAGTAATTCCAGTGGGCTCTGGAGCTTGGGGCTGCCCTGGTTGTCTGGTCCCTGTGGGCTTTTAGGAGAGGGGACAGTGGCCCAGAGTGGGATGGTGGATGTGTGGGCTCTGGGTTGGTGTTCTGCATTTGAAAGGGGTACTCCAGATGAGTTGTTCCTTATCTCCAGGAATTGCCTGATCCTGGGAGGGGGCAGTCGCTCCAGGGTCCACAGGGACGTCAGTTGTCAAGAGAATAAAGGACACAGTTGGCACACAGACAGATGTGGGTGTGGACGAGTCACGCAGGTGAAGCTCCGTATGATGGAGGTCTGGGACTCTGGCCTGGTCTAGCTGGGCCTGGCTGTGTCCTCGGGACAGGATGGCCAGGGTTGCAGGGACAGAGTCCAGGGTCTGAGTCCTTGCTCTCACTCTGCTCTGACTTGCAATGTGCCTTTGGGTAAGCCATTGCCCCTCTCTGGGCCTTGGTTTTGTTTCAGCTGTATATTCAAGTCGCCTACATGGGCTAGTTTTACCATCTGCTTGGCACTCCCGAGCTGTCATTTCTTCATAGAAAATCACTTAGAAAAGACTGTGCTACAGGGCATGAGGTCTCTGAGAAAGCCCTCTAACTTTGTGACACGGACGCATGATGTGAGCAGCTGCCCTGGCTCTGACCACGCCAGCAGCTCCGGTGCTGCCCTGCACCAGCTCCCACTTTTTTTTTTTTTTTAAGATTTTATTTATTTTTTCATGACACACACACACACACACACACACACACACACACACACAGAGGCACAGACACAGGCAGAGAGAGAAGCAGGCTCCATGCAGGGAGCCCGATGTGGGACTCGATCCCCTGGGCTGAAGGCAGCGCTAAACTGCTGAGCCACCTGGGCTGCCCCCAGCTCCCACTTAATGAAAGTAGTAGCTGGCATTTATCGCTTGCTTCTGTGGGCCCAAGCCTGCCCTGGCCTGTTGTACATTATGCACTAATTCCTCACCATAACCCCATGAGGTCAGAAGATTGCACCTTTTGGCAAAAGAGGAAGACGGGACAGACTAGGAGATCTGTTAGAGATTCTCAAACCATGCTCCAGGTTGACTCCAAAATCCATGCCCTTAAAGAGAAAAATAATTTTTTTTCCTGATTTCACATGTACTAGAAACACAGTGCAGAAAATATGGAATATAGGGATCAGGGGAAGACAGTAAGAGTGCCCACCGTGCTTGCACTTGGAAGTATTCACCACGAGGGCAGTTTGGCTCCCTCACACATCTTCCTTCGAGCAGCCCCTGCTGTGAGCTGGGCACTGCCAGGGTTCTGGGCTCCAGAGACACTTGGCCATCGCAGAGCCTGGGATCCAGCGGGGAGTGGACAGGAAGATGGGGATCACCGCAGAGAGCAGGGCAGTTGCTAGGGAGGCCCAGTGATGGAAGAAACAGGGCCACAGAGAGTGAGGACAGGGAGCCCCTGCGCCAAAGGTAAGGAAAGTTCTGGCATGGCGAAACCCACACGCCCGTCTGCGCCTCGTACAAGTGTGGTTATTGTGCATGGATGTCCCTCTAACTCGGGTCTCATCTCCTTTAACGAGGAGTACACCATTGCCATCTGCATGGAGCTCTGCTGTGTTCCCTCTTGTGGCCACGTAGTGCCCCACACAGAGTCCTGTCACCTCCGGGCCCCAGGCAGTGCAGTGCATGCTGTCTGAGCCACTCGGGCCCGGACCTCGTCCTCTCCCACCCAGACCCAGAACCGCGGCAAGAGGATGAAGGAGGGTGCCCACATCAACCGCTCCCTGCTGGCACTGGGCAACTGCATCAATGCGCTCAGCGAGAAGGGCGGCAGCCGGGCGCAGTACGTGAACTTCCGAGACAGCAAGCTCACACGCCTGCTGAAGGTACAGCCATGGGCCCGCATCGCTGGGGGCTTCCCTGCCAGGAGGGAGGCCCAGACCTGGGGCTGAGCACTGCGCCCCCGCTGGGAACCCCTGAAGGCAGGAGAGCATTGTAGAAACCATGACTGGTCACTGTCTGACAGCTCCATCCCTCTGAGTGTGGGCGTGGGCCAGCCTGGGCTTGCATATTCCCAGCCACAGGGAGCTCACTACCTTACTGAGGCTGTCTGTCCCATCTTGGACGCTCTGACAGTGAGATATTCCCCCCCTATTCTGGGATGGACACTGCCCCCTCTATTCTGTAGCAAGGGTGAAGGTGAACAAATGGTCAAAACAATAAGTAAATGTCCCTGTAGATCTGGCTTCTCAATCTAATCTGTTCTCATCAGAGCAGAAGTCCAAGGGGGTGGGCCTGGAACAGATCTCACTTTGTCTGAGTGTCCCCTCCCCGAGTACCAAACTCTTGGGCCTAGCATCACCTGCCATGCTCAGGGCTTGGAGTAGGAACCTCAGAGGGCTGGGATGGGAGGGAGATATTCCCCTTACCCCCAGCTCGGACCTTCCGCTGCACAGGATGCCCTGGGAGGGAATAGCCGGACCGTGATGATCGCACACATCAGCCCAGCCAGCACGTACTTCGAGGAGTCTCGGACCACTCTGCTGTATGCCTACAGGGCAAAGAACATCAAGACAAGGGTGAGGCCCCCATGTGCTCACTCATCTGCTTCCCCACTCACTGAATTCTAACTCAGTGCTCCCTGCGGAGCCTCTAGGGGAGGCTCCCATCCACCCCAGGGCTCCCAGCATGCTGAGTTCCTGGGCACCTGACATATCTGTCCCACTTCTCGTCTCTGAGGCAGACACTGGCATTGGGTTTCAGGCCCCCAAGTCCAGGAGAACCTTATCTCAAGATCCTTAATTACATCTGCAAAGACCCTTTATCCTCATGAGGCTGCAGTCTTGGGGTTCGGGGTGTTTATGATGTGGACTTAGCTGTCAGGCACACTATGAGCTCTTGATGTTTTGATTGAATTTATCGCCACCCTCTCCCCAGGAAGAGGGGCCTATTATCTTTCCATTTTGCAGCCTGGGCAGCTGAGGCATGGAGAGAGATAGGGCAACTTCTCCAACCTTCTCGGCCCAAGCAGAGTTGGTGTTGCCACCCAGAGAGCCTGGCTGCAGCTCATTGCATGAGCTCCTGTGCTGCTTGGCCACACTGCAGTGTTCAGTGTAGAGGATTCATCTCCGAGGGCTGTATGCAGGTGCAGGGACACCACACATGTACGCTGCCCAGGGCACACAGATCTAGTGGTCAGCGAGGGGAGGTGTCACTGGCTGTGGTTATCATTGCCCACAAACAAGGGGTGAGCCCTTCCCACTGTGCGGCTCTGAGTGAGGTGCCAGGATAGCCTCTGCTTTCAGCCAAACTTTGAGCTTAGCTATGGGGTGAGGCAGATGGCAAATATGACCTCCCACAGATAAGTGTGTCACTTCCAATTGTTGTGAGTGCTCTCTCCGTGAGAGCCATAGGGTGCTGCAAGGAAGAGCGGTGGAGAAGACAGAGTTCAGGGGGTCAGTCGAGGACACTGGGCCCCGAGTGAGGGATAGCCTGGGTGTGCAGGCTCAGGACTGTCAAACGAGGTGTTTGTGCCTCATGACCAGGACTTCCACCCTCCAAATTCAACAAAGAGAAGCTTGGGCCCATGTGCTCCAGAAGGCTGTGTCACTAGGAAAGCCCCAAAGTAACCGTCAAAGGGGACAGGGCCATCAAACTGGTGTGTCCCTCCCATGGACCGCTTTGCAGCTGTTGGAGAGAATGGGGCAGACCGACGGCCTCCCAGACACATCACCGGATGAAAAAGCAAGTTAAAGAAGAAAAGTTCTGGGGAGTGCCCGACTGACTCAGTAGGTAGAGCATGTTGACTCTCAATCTCAGGGTTGTGAGTTCAAGTCCCACGTTCGGCATGGAGCCTACTTTAAAAAAAAAAACAAAACAAACGTTAAAAAAGAAAATAATAGCCCTGGTCTGATATAATTTACATAGAAAACCAAAGCCAAACCTGTAGCAAGAAATTCCCCCTCTATGTCTCTGTAGGTGTATATACGTGAGCAAAACCACACAGAGGAAGATCCGGAGGGCACACATCAAAGTTACGCAGTGGTTACCCACGGGGAGGGTTTTTAAAAAGACTCTTGATGGATCATTTGAAATTTCTTCACTGGCAAAAAAATGCATGACGGAAAATTTACCATCTTAACGAATTTCAGTGAACAGTTCAAGGGCACCGAGCACATTCCTGCTGCTGAGCCGCCATCCCCTCATCTGGTTCTGGAATGTACCATCCCCGTGACACACTGATACCCTGGCCCCACCGTCTACTCTCTATCTGGGAGTCTGATGACGCCGGGATCTCATGTGGGTGGGGTCCCCATGTCCATCCTTCTGTGTCTGGCTTGTGTCACTCGTCCTCTCGTCCTCAGGGTGCATCCCTGCGGTGGCAGGTGGCAAGGTTCCTCTCTTTTCAAGGCTGAGGTGTGTCAATCTGAATTTTCCCAACGAAATGTGCTGGTGTCCTTGTGGTGTGAATATGTCACACAGCAGGACGGTTCCCACAAGCTCTGACCTTGGCCGCGTGTCCCATCCACCAGGTGAAGCGCAATCTGCTGAACGTGTCCTACCGCATTGCACAGTATACGGACGTCATCTCTGACCTGCGCAGGGAGATCGAGCACCTCAAGTCCAAAATTGAGAAGCAGGACGGGGAGAAGAGAGGTAAACCCGGTGTCTGGGAAGCACAAAGTAGAGCCAAGCTCCTGGGACCCCTGTGGCTGTGCCACCCCACCCAGGGCATGTGGCATGGCCTTCGGTGCCAGCCCGCCATGTGCTGCCTGCCGTCTCTGGGCCCCTGGTGGCGAGGAGGGGCTGGCTTCCCTGCCTTCTCCCCAGCTCCTCCTCTACCTTTCCTCTCCTTCTCACCCTCCCACATTCTTGTTTTTTCCTTCTCCCCAGATCAGTTTTTCTTTAAAAACATAATCTTCCACTCTGGAATAATTTTAGATTTACAAAAAAAAAAGTTGCAGAATAGTACAGAGAGTTCTCTGCTTCCCCTAATGTCAGCATCTAAATCTGTGTTTATTTGCTGTGGCAAAGCACACACAACTTAACATTTACCGTCTTCAAGTGCGTACATGGTTCAGTGGTATTTGTCTAGTCCACAGTGTTCTGCAGCCACCATCTCCATCTGGTTCCAAAGCATTTCCACCTTCTCCCCAAACAGATCCCATGTCCATCACACAGTTTCTCTCCATTCCCCCTTTCTCCCCAGACCAGTCTTAGGGTAGACCTTCCTTAGGGGTGAGCATATCACAACTTCTCCAAAAATTATAAAATTAATCAGTAAGTTAAAAAGGTATCTTTAAAAGCACCAGTAAGAAAGTCAGGCACACACACATGTATATATATGTACATACATACCTGCATCCATACATGTTCTTACGCCTGATTAAGATAAGCTTTGCCATAACAAATACAGGATTTTTGAAAATCGATAAGAAAGAACAAATGAGCCAAACCTGGGGGAATAAATAGATGATTCAAAGAATTCTTAGTGGCCAATAAACAGGGAAAGATTTTTTTTTTTTAAGATTTTATTTATTTATTCATGAGAGACACGGAGAGAGAGGCAGAGACACAGGCAGAGGGAGAAGCAGGCTCCATGCAGGGAGCCCGATGTGGGACTCCATCCCAGAACCCCAGGATCACTCCCTAAGCCAAAGGCAGATGCTCAACCACTGAGCCACCCAGGTGCCCATAGGGAATGATTCTTAATTGCATCAGGAAACAGACACACATTGAAATAATTTTCACTGATCAGATTAGCTGAAGTTAAAATGTCAGGTAATAGTAAACAGATGATATAAAATACAGTATGTAGATGGCAATGTGAACACTCTTACTGGGAGTGTGAATTACCCTGTGTCTTTGGGAGGCCAGCTTGGCGGCATCTGTTCAAACTTAGAGCGTGCGTGTTCTGTGTCCTAGCACTCTCACTCCTCCAGATCCACCATGAGGCCCATGTTCTCCTGTGCCCAGGAAGCTGGGGGACCATAGTGTGCCCATCGTGGGGTGGGGGTGGAGGTCTGGATGAGCAAACTGATGTGCCCCCTGACTCTGGTTACGGAGGCTGGGCAGGCCCATCTGTGTAGCCAGACTCCACGTAGGCATGTTGCTCACATTTTTTATTATGGGAATTTCCAACACTTGCTGAAGAGGAAGTCAAGAATGGCATACCCCAGCCAGAGCCACCACCAGGCTCACTCTCTGTGTCCTCCCCACGCTGCCCCCATCCCATCATCTGGAGGTGAATTCCAGACATCATACCACTGTACTCAGAGATACGAGAGTACGTACTCCCTATGAAACAGAGACTCCACCAACACAAAACTACATGCCTTTTCCATGGCTAGAAAATGTGTCCATGTCTGTGGTGTCATCAGATGGTTGGTGGGGGTGCAAGCTTCCAACAAGCCCGTCGGTGTCATCCGGCCACACCTTGAATGTGGCCTCTTCTCTTCCATGAGCATCCCCTCTTCCTTTTTGTGGTTTTCCTTTTGATTCTTGCTGAAGACACAATCCTTTGTCCTGTGGATTTTCTGACTGTTGGCTTTGCCAATGGCTCTGTCCTCTAAGCTCCTATACAAGAGCAGTTGTACTAAATGCAGGGAAAAGGGGTTTTCAGACTTTCATTAAAAGTTGGAAATTGAGGGCATGTTGTATGAAGGGATGGGGGTGATAGCTGGCAGGTCCCTGACACCATAGCCACACCAGTGACTGGTCCGGGGACTCCATAGAGGTGGTACCCCAGGAACAGGAGGTCACGGAGCTCAGGTCCTCAGGTTGGTGTCTGGATCACCTGGGAGGATTTGGGAGTCACCAAGAAAACTGAGAGAGCAGTGGTGAGGAGAAACTCCAGAGCTAAGTGTGAGCATCTTCCACAGAGAAGGGACAGTGGCCATGGCATCCCGGAGGCACTGCTGAGAGACTCTGTTGAGTCTTCCTCCAGCCTTTTGTTGTCTCCTTCCTTGCACTAGCTGTAGGTTTATTATTTTTTTTAAAGATTTTATTTATTTATTCATGAGAGACACACAAAAGAGAGAGAGAGAGAGAGAGAGAGGCAGAGACACAGGCAGAGGGAGAAGCAGGCTCCATGCAAGGAGCCTGATGTGGGACCCGATCCCAGGACCCCAGGATCACACTCTGAGCTGAAGGCGGCGCTAAACCGCTGGGCCACCTGGGCTGCCTGTAGTTTATCCTTCCTCACTAGCTCCCTGAGGTCACTGCTGTCATTTGACGTGAACCTGTCTGGATTGTGTTCTGTGCAGCGTGGTAGACACGGATGTGTCCAGATAGGGATGCATGGTTTATGTGATATATGTCCATGGGTCAGGGGGTTGACTTTAAGCTTTGACATAAAATGACATTAGTCTATGGCTATTGCTCTGTACCTTGTTGTTCTCACCCAGTGGTGTGTCCTGGTGGTCTGTGCGATGGGCCTGCCCCATTCTCTAGTCTCTCCAACAGCTGCAGAATATTCCACTAGAGTCTGCAGATCTCATCCCCTTTGATGGGCACTTTGGGGCTTTCTAGTTACTCAGTCTCCTTGGGCACATGAGTGCCTATTTGTTTTAGGTGATTTGGCTCAGGGTTCTGTGAGAACAAAAGGGTGAAGGAAGTCTGCAAAGAAAAGGGGCTGTTTTTGATGCCAGACTGCTTCCCAGGTGGTCAACAGAAGGCTGGCGGGTGAGTGGGGGTGAAAGATGGGGTTGTCGTAGAGAATTTGCAAAGTTAGGTGGTGACCAGGACACTTGGACTTCTTTGGAGTCAGTGCTGAACAGGGAGGCATGCTGTAAGGACCTTTACCCTGATGGCCTCTTAATTATTGGGAATGGCCCTAGGTGGTCTGTACTGGGAAGGCGGGCAGTGTTGTGAGGGATTGGTGGTCTCATGGTGAGCCCTGAGGGCATGATGGGATTCCCTTGGGTCCTGCTGTGGCATGCCTGGGGTAGTAGTGGGACATTGGTGTGCACGTCTCTGCCAAGAGCATTATGAGCATCTCCAGGGTACCAACTACTCCCCCATATCTTGTTTTAATGACTACAATGGTCAGGTATTCAGATGCATGGTTCATTTTGCCCATCTCAGATTGCTTGGCATTTAAGGAAAAAGTGCCCCTTGACCCCTGCCCTCCAGGTCAGGGGAACAGACTGTGTGTGGTCAGAGTGGAGCTACCATGGGGCAGTCAGGGAATACCATCAATTAGCCATGGACAACTATTAGGTAGGAGCTTACATGGGAAACAAAAAAGACAAAACTAGTTTGCTCTGTGAAGCTTACATTCTAGTAGGAAAGTCAGGGGCCAAACATGGATCACAAAATATTTATCAATTACCAATGTGCAGAGGACTGTGAAGAAGAAGGCAGGATGTTATCAGAACAAGTGGCAGGTGGACCCAGATTGAGAATCTGAGAGGGTTTCCCTGAGGAAGTGAGTGAAGTCTGAGCTCAGACGGCTTACCCAGACACACCCCTCCTTGGATTCCTGAGATGAAAATCCAGGTAATCTGACCCCAAACCAGGCAAAGAGGCCCTCTAAACCATCCATTGGATTATCTAGCCATCCATCCATCCATCCATCCATCCATCCATCCATCCTTTCCGCTCTTATCCATCTACCCATCATCAACCCACCCACCCACCCATCCACACATCCATCTCTCCATCTCTCCATCCATCCATCATTTACCCACCCATTCATCCATCCATCATCTAACCATCTATTCACCCATTATTCACCCATCCATCCATCCACCCATCCATCATCTACTCATCCATTCATCCATCCATTATTCATCCACCCATTCATTCATGTATCCATCATTCACCCATCCATCCATCGACCCATCCATCATCTACTCATCCATCCATCCATCCATTATTCATCCACCCATTCATTCATGTACCCATCATTCACCCATCTATCCATCCATCATTTACCTACTCATCCACCTATCAACTACCCATCCACCCAGCTATCCATACATTTATCTCTCCATCTATCCATCATTCACCTACCCATTCATCCATCCATCCATCATCTACCCATCCATTCATCCATTATTCACCCATTATCTATCCATTCACCCACCCATCCATCCATCCGCCTATCTATCATCTGTCCATCCACTCATCCATCCAAACATGTGTATAGAGTTCTTGGTCCAGACCACTACAAGCATGGAGTTCCACCTTGGCTTAGGGAGCATTGCTCCTGGTGCAACTAACTCTTTTCCTGCCCCCAGTCATGATCCCCCCCAGTGATGGAGAGGAGGATAGCCGCCTGCAGATGAACAAGATCCGGGCACAGCTCATCGGAGCCTTCAAGGAGCAATTGGAGATGCGGCGCAGCCTGGTGGAGCTGGAGAACACCAACATCGAGCTGCATGTTGACACGTCCCGCCACCTGCTCACCATTGCAGAGTGAGTGTGTCCACTCACCCAGGGCCCAGATGCCATGCATCTGCACAGGGCAGGGAGGCCAGCCAGGACACAAGGAGCCACTGGGAAAGCCTTTTTTTACTATTGTGCAGCCTCTACCTCCTGCAGATCCCCCAAGGGGACTTTAGTGAAGGGCACCCTCTCTTCCCAGGCAGGATTCCTGGCCCAATCCCTTCCTGCTCTCCAGCCCCTGTTGCTAAGCTGGGCCGGATGGGGAAAGGCTTGCAGTTCCCTTTGATTTCCTTGTCTCAAGCTAGAGTACAGAGTCAGCCCTGGCAGGTTAGGATTAACCCCATTTTACATAAGAGGATGTTGAGGCTCAGAGGGGATGTGGGTTTATCTAAGGTTGTACACCCACTAGGCCAGGACTCATCTACCCATCCACATATACTTGCTATTTGCACCTACTGTGAATAGACTGACCATACATGGAGGGACTGGCCATGCAATTTGTCATCTGGAGTGGGATGTGTTTAAGAGGGTGAGGGGTGCTATTTATGCTGGGACAGCGGGTGTGCCTGGTCCTGCCCCAGACAAATTAGCACACCTGGCTCCCCTGCTTACGGTAACTAACATGGAGTGTTGGGGCCCCAGCCCATTTCTTATCTTGTCCTCCCCACATTGTCCTCTTCCTGCTTCTTCCTGTTTCTTTTCTTTCTTTTTTTTTTAATTTTTATTTATTTATGATAGTCAGAGAGAGAGAGAGAGAGAGAGGCAGAGACACAGGCAGAGGGAGAAGCAGGCTCCATGCACCGGGAGCCCGACGTGGGATTCGATCCTGGGTCTCCAGGATCGCGCCCTGGGCCAAAGGCAGGCACCAAACCGCTGCGCCACCCAGGGATCCCTATTTCTTAATTATACACACAGTGTGAGATCTGCACTGGAGGAATTCTTATACCAGGAAAGGCTCTCTGTCCACCTGTTGCTGCATCCCCCCACCCCACAGTGTCCGTGGCAGTTCACACTCAGCCTGGTGTCCTGTCATCCTCTTTGAGGTTTTGCCCCGAGTGGGGTCATCACAGCTCACCTTCAAAGCCCCAGGTGTACTTTTGCCATCGGGTCCCACGCTGAGGAAAGCAGGCTCAGTGGGGGCACGTTTGTGTACAGGTGGCCTGAGGCCCCCTGGGCAGAGCCGGGTTTGGGGGTGGTGGGCTGGAGGCAGCAGAGTCCTGTGCTTAATCATTCGGCAATCCTGTGTAATGTTCACTGCCTCTTTATTTCCTTCCAATTTTTGTTTGTGCCCAGTTTTTACAGCCATCAGGTGGCAGTTGTCACGCCCAGGCCTGTGAGTAGACCAGCCCTGGCGTGGCTTGCACCCTGACCCTTGACCCCTCTGTTGCGGCTGCAGCTGGGAGCGTGAGAAGACCCACCAGCATGCACACAGGGACAGGACGTCAGAGAGGGACGAGGAGCCAGCAGAGGCTGATGCAGACAGGGATGAGGGCGAGTCTGTGGAGCCACACGAGGTGGCTCTGGCCAGAGAAGAGGTCAACATGCTTTTGGCTGAGCAACGGAAAACTGCAGCCCTCAAGGTGGGGAGGAGGGTCTGCACATGTGTGGTCACATCAGCAGTGTGAACACAGTGCCCCAGGTCAGGCCTACCACAACCAACCGGCCTGTAGATGGGAGCCAGGCTCAGGAAGTAGAGATAAATGGTTCCACATCCCCTGGGGATGTGACCTGGGCTGACTGCAGAGTCCATGCCCTTCATGCTAGTGATGGCAGCAGGGGGTGGCAAGGGTCAGCTCACAAGAGGACCAGCCCCTGGGGGACCAAGGAGCAGTGGCCGTGCAGACGGGGTAGCCCCTGCCCGCCCATCTGCACAGGCAGCTTAAAGGCAAAGCCTCCAGTTTGGAGGGTCTCATGGGCAAGCGCTTTGACCTGGTCCATGTTTTCTGGGGGCATCTCACTCCGTCTTCCCTGGCTCAGGTCTTCCTGACCTGGGCAAGGGCCAGAGGAAGCCCGGTTCCTCCCTAGGGAAAGAAGCCTCTAACACTCCTGTTTCTGAGAAGAGCTGGCTATTTCCATGAGCTGTTAATGCGGTAGCTCATTCTTTTGCAGTACTGCTTCAGAGAAAGGGCAGAGCTGGCACGGCTGCAAAGCTGGGAAGTGCCCTGGAGTAGCCACTGGATCAGCACATTAACATTAGCCTGCTCAGTGCTCTGTGCTCAGGGGTGTGTTCCGGCTCATGCAGGAAGCATCTGCTAAGGTCCAGGTGCTGACAGCAGGGGCACTTACTTCGGTGAAGAGCCACAGAGCCTAGCCGAGAAGCTCCTCCTGTTGCTGCATCTCCCCTGGAGATTATGGGATCTCCCTTCGAAAGTCCTCTAATATAAAAATAAGAATGAAAAAAAAAAAGAATGATGCCTTTTGTTTAAACCAATAATGTGCATGAGCAGAGAGTATGACTTCAAGAGTCAAATATTGGTATTGAGATGCAGTGTAGCATGAAAAGGAGTCCATCCATTAGTGAGTTAACCAGTGAATCAAGAACAAATCGATGTTTTAAGTGTCCAGCTCCATGCCAGGCCTGGGGATATAAAGATGAAAAAGACCTTCTGTGTGACTTAAGCTGTCAGTGTGCCGGGACCCTCCCCACCAATGTGGGGAGGACCTCAGGCGGAGGAGAGGAGGGCCATGCCAGGGGGCTGAGCCAACTCCTCCCAAAGTTGCCCCCTCCCAACCTCAGAGGAAGAGTGAAAGGCTGGAGCACATCCTCCTGGGCCTCACCAGTGGTTGTCATCCTGCTTGTGTCTGGGACCATGGTCCTGGGGGTGGGCACGCCCAGCAGCCTTGGCTGCAGCCTTGGTTTTCCACAGTGGAGACAGCAGGGAGGTATGAGTCCTGGGGTGTGTTCTAAGATGCAACATGTTCATAGAAAATATGAAGCACAGGAGGGCCAGGAGACCAGGAGATAACCGCCGTTGGAAAGATGGTCATACAGTTCCAGGAGAAGAGGGCATGGCATGCCATGTGGGGCCACATGGGGAAGCACCAGGGCTGGTCAGGAGGCGGGGCGGGGGGGGACACTGTAGGGAAGAGCCTGCTTATGGTTTGTGCAAGAAAGAGGGGCGAGGTGGGGTGAGCAGGCTTAGGATGAGCAGGCTGGGGACCGGCTAGTCTGAGTAATTCTGGTGGGCTCTGGGGTTGAGGTTGTCCCGGTTGTCTGGTCCCTGGGAGATTGGGGCAGGGAGACAGTGGCCCAGAGCATGAGAGCCCCATGGAGGGAGGAAGTTTGGGTACAGGCACTAGGTTGGCTGGTGTACATTTGAGAAGTGTGCCCCTGGGTGAGTGGTTCAGGATCCTCAGGAACTAGCTAGACTTGGGAGGGTCAGTCCCTTCAGGGTCGGTGAGGTCCCAGGTATGAGAGAATAGAAGAGAGAAAATAAAGGACATGGTTAGTGCAGGGTGATGGCCACATGTCCCCTGAGCCCGTAGATCACGTCATGTTTTCATGGGTACAGGCTGCAAAGCTGAGCCCACAAGGATGAGCACGCATGGGACCTCAGGCCCCATGCACCTGTCCTGAACCCCTGGTCTCTCTGCCAGGCTGGGCTGGAGCAGCGCCTGGCCAATGCCAAGAAGAAGGCCTCACAGCTGGAGAAGCTGCTGCCCACGCAGGTCATCAGTGAGGACCAGCGGGAGGTGCTACGGCTGCTGTGCAGGGCCCACGAACTGGAGGTGGAGAACACAGAGCTGCAGGCCAACAATCTGTGCCGGAGGAACCTCATGTGCCAGAAGGACTTTGTGATCCAGCGCTACCACCAGCACCGGCTGCTCTGTGAGCAGCTCATCCAGGATCAGTGGCAGCTGATTCAGGGTGAGGCCGCCCCATCCCAGCCCCAGAGGGACGAGGCACTGCTCATGGTCGGGGACAGTCCCAGTCCCCAGTGGCCTGGGGGCGGGGGGGGACAGCAGTCAGCCTTCAGCCCTCCCCTGTCCCCGGGCCCCTGTGCCCGGTTATGAAACCCTCTCCAGGTGTACGGGTAAGCGAGGAGTAGCCAAGCACAGTGTGCAAGGTGTGCTGCTTCATGTGAGGGATCCAGGCACAAGCACACACATGGCATGTATGGCACAGACCATACAGGGGGCAGTGAGGGTATGGAAACCCCACCGTCTAGAAAATCCTCCTTCATCAGTTTGGACTATTTGCCTTCAGACTTCCATAAAAAAGAAGACACCATCTTCTCCACAAGTAGGGCTGTCACCCACGCCTGCTTTCCCGGCTTCGCAGGGGGTGGCATCGCAGTGCCGGAGTCCCTGGCCAGGCGGCGCTGCCTGTACTCACGGGAGCTGGGCGCAGGCTCGCTGAACCGCCTGCTGCTGCTGCACGCCGTCATGTCCAGCTCCCTGCGGGTGAGTCCCGTGGACTGTGGCACCGCAAGGGGACCCTCAGGGACCCCCCACCCAGCCCTGAGCCAGGCGCTGGAGCCAGCAGCACTGGGCAGCCAAGCCAGTGGCCGGGCTTCCAGGAGGTTTAGAGAGGCCCTGAAGGTTAGCGCTCCTGAGCTGAGCATGAGGTGGACCATGGTGCTTCAGGGACCCCAGGAACGGCATTCTGGGGAGCCTTGGCTGGATCTGGTGTGTTAGCTCTCCTTCAGGGCATGCTGGCAGTCTCCTGCATGGTGGGTGGCATCTGGTGCCAATTCTGGGGACTCCTGAGGGAAGAGGGCTGGGGCAGGGCTGTGCATCCACTCTTCAGACAAAAGCTGTCATCACTGACTGCACCCCTGCCTGCAGCTACGGCCCCCCACCCCCCTGCTCCACCTTCTCAGGAGAGTAAAGGGGAGCCCTCCAGGCTTCAGGCAGAGTGGGTGAGGGGCAGTAGCCAGAAATGTGGCATGGGGAGGGGTCCAGGGATCTAAGAGCACATAAAGCCATGTCCCACCCCTGGTTAGAGGTCCCCGATCCGAGGGCTGCTGCTGCTGCCAGCAGGGGCTGTGTCCCCATCTGGACTCCTGCTCTTCCCGTGTTTCCTGTGGACTGTGTCAGTCTCCCCAAGACACCCTCAGGTTCACTTCTTTATAAAAGGTATTACACTAAACCAGAACCATCCCCATTAAGCGACCCCTCCCCAGCCCCTGGCACCACAATCTTCTTGGTGTCTCCACGGGTTTGATGACCCCAGGGACCTGAGAGCCCTTGTCCTTCCATGACTGGCTTATTTCACTGAGTACGACACCCTTCTGGTCTGTCCCTGTGGTGGCCGGTGTCAAGACGTCTTTACTATTTAAGGCCGAGAGAGGGATGCCTGGGTGGTTCAGTGGTTGGGTGTCTGCCTTCGGCTCAGGGCCTGATCCAGGGATCTGGAATCGAGTCCTGCATCGGGCACCCTGCGTGGAGCCCGCTTCTCCCTCTGCCTGTGTCTCTGCCTCTCTTTCTCTCTCTCTCTGTCTCTCATGAATAAATAAATCTTAAAAAAAAAAAAAGGCCGAGAGATACTCCGCTATGTGGACGGGCCTTGTGTTGATGCCACCATGGACTTGGGGTACGTCCACCTCTCGACTGTTGTGTGTACCGCTGCCATGAACGTGGACGTAGAAAGATCTGTTTGAGTCCCTGCCCTTAGTTCTTTGGCTATAAGCCTGGAAGTGGGATTGCTGGGTCATGTGGTGACTCTGTATGGCTTCTCGAGGGCGTGCGGGCTTTCCAAGGTACTCTGACAACAAGCAATCTGCCTGTGCACCACTTTCACTCAAGGGTCAAGGCTATTCCCTGACGCTCCCTGGTGCTTGCCTGTGCACACAGCATCCTTTCTGACTCTGTGCTGGGGAGGCCCAGTCAGAGGTGAGCGTCCCTGCTGGGTGGTTTCTTTCCAGCGATAGTGGCCAGGCGGATTTCTGTGGCCCCTCGCAGATCTGTGCATGATGCCTGTGTCCACAGTCCGTGCCGCCTCCCTCAGCTCCTCTTTCTGGCCCCAGGATGGCTCTGTTCTGAACACATCCCCCCCGCCGCCGGAGGAGGCCAGCCGAGACCAGCTGGACGACAGGAAGGACCTCCCATGGGGCGCCCAGTTCGAGCTGCCACCCATGCTGCTGGAGACAGACAGGTACCTGCACTGTCCCCTCTTCCGACCGGGCATTGCCATGCCCTCAGCTGGCGGAGTGCAGCAGTAGGGACCAGAGGCCGGCCCTGGGGATCCTGGCTGCAGAGCCTCCCCTCGGGAAGTCCATCTAACGTTGCTTAAGATGAATAAACATATCCCAGGAGGCGCTAGCTCTGCAGGGTGGTTATGAGGCCAGGAGTGGGCTGCCAGAAAGGCCATTTTCACTTTACGTGTATTTTGTTCATGCTCCGCCGCTGTGTCCCACCCTCAATGCTTTTCCCCTCTCTTCTGTTGACTTTTCTTCCAACACCAGAACAGACCAGTAAACCCAGCACTCACTGACTCGCCCCCTGGTTTTCACGTTAGCATTTGGCCAGTTTGTGTCCTTGTCTGAGCCACTCGGGCTGCCTGACCTGATGGAATGTCCAGGACCAGGGGGCTCACCGTGGCCACTTACTTCTCACAGTTGTGGAGCTGGGTGTCCAAAATGGAGGTGTGGCGGGGTGTCGCTGTGGCGAGGAGCACACGGCCGCATCCAGGCTCCTGTGGTAGAGACCGTGCACCTCCTCTCTTGGGGGACACGGTCCCTGAGGACCTGAGGACACAGGGCCCCACACACTGACCTCCCGAAGAACCCTCTCCGGATACAGTCACCAGGGTGTCAGATCTTGGGGAGGACACAGTTCAGGTCAAGTCGCTGTGGTCACCTGGGTCACAAACATTGTGACATTTCCCCCCAGTATGTCAGTATGCAGGTTCTGCAGCTGGGACTCCTCCCTTTGTGACCACAATGCAGTCAGTTAGCATCCTAGCAAAATCAGCGACACATCTTCAACATCCTCTTATCCTCCCTAGGGTCACAGTTCTCCAGGGTTGCCCCCAATACCTTGGCAGCTGGTTTGTCTAAATCAGGGTGCAGTGAAGGCCGGGATGCTGCATTTGGCTGCAATGCCCAGGCTTGATCCATGCCCTTTGGGGGAATGAGAACACCAGGGTCCATCTTTGGTGCATGCACACATGTGCATATGTGTGTTTGTGTATACACGTGTATGCATATGCACATGCATGGTTTGTGTGTATGTTTCTTTGTGTGTGCATCATTGCATGTTTCGTATTTGTGTGTGTGTCATGTGTTTCATGTGTGTCACATGTGCATGTGCATATGAAAACAAAGTGCCCCATCCCCCCAGTCGAGACTAGATGCCTCATCCACCTGCTCCTGGGCCCATGCTGCCTTCCTGCTCTTGGCTCCCACCTATCTGAACTTGCACTTGGCCCATGATTAGAGAAGATGGGTGTCGACCCCACTCTGACACAGTGCTGATTGTAGGTCGCTTGCGAAGTGAGCCCCCCACCTTCAGGCCTCAGTGTAGGGAGGAGGGGGCTCTCCCTGCCTGTTACAGAGCCATTGCTGCAGCAGCTGGAACGGTAGCCACACAGCAGGCCAAGCTACCTGCAGGCCATGTGCTGGACACTGGTCCATGTTCCACACAGCACAAGAGGAGCTGTGTCACCCGGCAGACAGGGTGTGCTGCTGCCACCCGCTGCCTCAGCTAAGGCATGCAAGCTGGTTCCCTTGGCAACAGCTAAGGCCGGCACAGGGGCCCTAGTAGGGAGGAGTCCCTGGGACCCTGCCCACAGGTAGTTGGCAGCTAGGCTTTATGTCAGGCTGACCAGTGCTTGAGTCCCGGGGATGCCATTCATCCGTGCCCCAGGATCCTGGTCAAGTGGTTGGCTGGCCTGAGCCTCAGGCACCCTGTGTCTAGACGGGTTCAATGATACCTCCCTGCAGGGCTGCGCGTGCCTGACACAGTGGGGACATGACACAGAGCTGCCGTGATGATGACAGCCTAATGTGAGCGGGTAGAGGATGGGAGCCGGTCCTCGCATGTGAGCAGGACTTCCGGGCCAGAGCTGGGCCTCTGTCCCCGTACCCCTTCCAACTTTCCTGTTGCTTTTGGTCCCGATTCAGAATGCTTTTGGCTGCAAGTAAGAGAATTTTCAATGTGAATGACCTGATCTAAACAGGGTGTGTTGTCTGATGAGAATTTGGAGGATGAGTGGACTTGGAGCTACTATTTAAATGACTAGATGATGCCTGTGTCCTTGGCATGCAAATAGTGTCTCCCCTTCGGGTCAAAGAGGTTGCCACTGCTCCATAGATCGTACCTCCATATAACCACACCTCAAAGAGGAAGGGAGGGCACAGGTGGTCTCATTCCACAGGTGGAAATAGGATTGGAGGAGCTCAGGAGCTTGCTGGAGGTTCACCATGAGGAAACACAGGCCAAGCATTTGTCTCTAGTTGGGGCTCCCGGCCACGGTGTTAGGGAGCCCTGCACTCTGCAGGTAGAATCCCTGAGGCCTCCCTGATCCACACAGTGCTTGAACACCCTGTGTCATTGAGCTCGCTTGTGGTCTTCCCAGCAGCTCAGCTTATTACCACTCCAATCTCGAAGATGGGAGAGCAGAGGTCAGGGGCATGGGGACACTCATCAGGAAGCCTGGGTATGATGCATGACACTTTGTTCTTATAGTCATTGATGACCTGTCTTGATGGGAGGCTGCTAGAAAACCCCATTCTTACAGACCCATAGGATAGGGGAAGTTCTGGCTGGAAGGTTGTCTGTCTGGCCTTCCCCTTCTAATGGCCCAAGTCTCCCTTCCACATGGGTCCTGGGAAAACTCTGTGTCTGCTCCAACCTCCTCTCCTTGCTGTGCCAAGCTGCTCCCTGCCCTAGGGCCTTTGCCCATGCTGTCCCTGGCAAGTTTTTCTGCCAGCACTCAGCATAGCTCTTCCATCGCCATCCTTCGGGCCTCAGCTTAGACGTTTTGTCCTGTTCTGTTTCTACCACCGCTGATCTAACACCAGTTGGACATGCTGCAGCCCAGTTCTTTTTTTTTTTTAACATTAAAAAAAATTATTCATGAGAGAGAGAGAGAGAGAGAGAGAGAGAAAGGCAGAAACACAGGCACAGGCAGAGGGAGAAGCAGGCTCCATGCAAGGAGCCCAATGTGGGACTTGATCCCGGGACTCCAGGATCACGCCCTGAGCTGAAGGCAGACGCTCAACAGCTGAGCCACCCAGATGTCCCTGCAGCCCAGTTCTGGCACGAACCCCGCCCCCCCCCCCCAGAGTTGGCACAGTACCCACTGGTTAGGGCCTCTGTCCTCTACAAGATTGACCCCATGTCAGATGCCAGATTCCCTCTCTGTCCAGCTGACTACAACCTCGGGGTTCCTGCAGCCCCCTCAGGTTTGGTAGGGACTCAGCTCCTGTGCCCAGTGTGACCTCTGACCATGGCAGCATACAGACGCCACTTGCCCTGGCCTGATGCAGGCTGTGGCACCCCGGGGTTCAGGCTCTGCTTTCCTCGGCTGGACAAAGGGCTGAGGGGCCCTTGCTGCTGGCTCAGCAGCTGCCTCTGTGTGTCACCCACAACAGTGGCTACAGGTCGTCACAAGGCACACCATCAAAAACGCTGGGAAAGCAAGATTCCCTTCTGCCCCCGCCGTCCCTCCGCATCCTGCTAACCCCTCCATCTCACGAGGTTCGTGTGCAGCCCTAACCAGGGCCTGGCCTGGGCTCTGGTGAGGCCTCCCCTGCCACTGCAGAGCTGTGGGGGGAGGGGGCACAACAGGTGGAGGGGCTTGGGGGTAAGGGGAGGATGTGAATATTCACACCTCTATGTCAGGAATTCCGGGCCTTTCCTGTGAACTGCCTTTAGAAAGCTGCCTGTCTCGTGATCACTAGTGATAAGGAGTGAGTGCGCTCACTCTGGATCTGTGCTGAGGACAACCCCTGCCCCACAGGGAGCCCTCTGCCCTAGCGGGAGCTCTGGAAAGCTCAGGTCCCCTGGGGGAGGCCCTATCTGTGACCCCAGGTGGTGTGTAAAGGCCCTGGGCCCTCTGCCTGTGGGAGTGCCTCCTGGGCGTCCCAGATCCAGAGATGGGCTTCTTCAGGCACCTTCCTTGGCCCTCCCCTACCCCCACCCTGCACCCACCCCCCGCTGCTAAGAATAAACCACTTGCCTTGAGTCACTAGCCATGAGTCAGCTTCAGGGTCCAGCCTGGGGCTGGCCAACCAGAGTGGCCCAGTGCTGTCTGACCATCCCTGCTGCTGGTTCCCTGCAGCAGTCGAGCTCCCTAAGTGTGAAGAATTTGGTCTCCAAGCTGTGCTCCCCCACTGGCCGGGACCTGGGCGCCTCGCTGGTGGCAGCGGAGGCTGGTGGCCTGGCCCTGAGCGCTCAGGCCCTCAAGGAGATGGCCGTGAGCACCAAGAGCATTGCCCTCATCGCGGCCACCCGGCGCTCCAAAGCACAGGACCGCGAGGGTGGCGGTGGCCGCTCCTCCATCCGCCTTCTGGAGGAGATGGCCCTGGATTCCAGGGACCCGAAGGCCAGCGTCACCCCAGACCCAAGCCCAGCAGACAGGAGGTGGCCCCTCGCCAGCCCGGGCAGGGACTGTTCTACGGAGAGGAAGGCCAGGAGGAAGCGGTCACCCTCCCTCACCTGGAGCATGCCGACGGTGGGTAGACACTGCCTGGCCACCTCGCCCAGTCCTGGGGTCCAGCTGGGACGGTTGGGGGGGGGGTCGGGACTGGCTCCCACAGTTACAGTGGATGCAGGAGGGCCCCAGGTGCAAAGTAGTCGGAGGGAGGACACCCAGCCCCACCACCCCTTCCTAATAGGAAGCTGCATGTGTGCATGGTTTCTGTAGGCAGGTCACAGTGCAGGCACCAGCTCCTGATCTGTTTCCTCCCTTAACATTCTTTCATAAATTCTCAAGTGTCTATATGATATTTGAATTTTAGCCCTGAAAAGATACACCACTTGGTTCTAGCGCATGTCACTAAATAGTAACCATGTGAGTCGCGAAGCACTGCCCACCACAAGGTGCCCCTCTCTGACCAGAGCCTGGTACCAGGCCTGGCACTCATGGCCTCCCACTGCCAGGGCTGAGCTCCACGCGCAGTCCCATTGCGCAGCCACTTACGGTTGTCTGCTCCCTGTTCCATGGCCAAGAGGTCGTCTTTCATTTCTGACCACTTCAGCATCCCTTTATGGGCAGTGTTCTTCATGTCTAGTTAACTTCTTGGGACATTGGACAATGTTGACCTCTGAACTCTCAACAACATTTAAGCAAAATCCAGCATACAGCAGAGCGCCACACTGATTGCTCCCTGGCCACACTGATCCCTTGCTGGCCATAATGATCACGGTGGTGTGAAGTTATACTCGCATGGGGGTAGGGTGGGTTTGGCATGGGTTCCAGTCTGTGTAGAAGTGGTGTTCCCTTGATGAGGTTTCTTTCTGTCCTATACTTGGTTATATAAACTGGAGGAAGTGAGCAATTTTTTCTCCGGGCAAGCTGGCTGGTGGCCAGGGACCAGACAGATGTCATTCTACTCCTGCCAGCCACACAGTAGACATTTGCTGATTCACACTGAAACCACTCTGGTAATCACTCAGTAGGATTAACGGTAGGACTGTAGCAGGGGTCAGAAGGTGAGGATACCAGTCAGGGCTCTGCAGACAAATGGAACCAGTAGGATGTGCGTGTGTGTGCATGGCACAGATGCTCACACACTCAAACATACATTCACATGCACACAGGTCTCACACATAGACATACACATCCACACTCATAGGCACACACACAACATACATGCACACATGCACATACATACACAGAGAAGAAGGTTTATTATAAGCAGTTGGCTCACATAATTTATGGAGGCTGACAAATTCCAGAACCGGGGTTGGCAAGCTAGAGACAAGTTCAAGTCCAAAGGCAGGAGAAAAACAAAGTTCCACTCAAGGCAATCAGGTAGGAGGGGGCTCCCTTACTCTCAGGAGAGTCAGCCCTTTTGTTCTATCTAGGCCTTCAACTGATTGGACAAGGCCCACCCACCCAGCAGTGGGAGATCTGCTTTACTCAATAGTCGATCTATTTATTTTATTTTATTTTTTAATTTTTTTTAATAGTCGATCTATTTAAATGTTAACCATTTAAACCTCCATTCTGGGGCTACTGAGAGTTAAAAATGGGGAGGAGAGACAACCAGTAGCCAGTAGAGGATCATTCATTCACTTATTCATTCATTCACTCACTCATTCATTCCTCTCTGGGGGTTGGATGAGAGCATGAACAGTAATTCTGCTTCTGTCCGCTGAGGTCCTTCATGGCCTGCAGCAGTCTGCCGCACAGTAGGTATTTAATCCATGCATGGCTTCAGCTCAACATGACCTTGACATGTCACTCCTTCCCCGCCCTGTGCTTGTCCCTGCAGGCAGCAGAGCATGGGGCTGAGAGCCAGCCATCCCCAGCAGTCCTGCAGCTCACCAAGTCATCTGGAAAGAGCTTCTTCCCTCCCGTCCCCGCGGCCTCCAAGATAAAACCCAGCCTCAGTTCCCACACAGGTACAGGGTTAAAAAAACAAAACAGCATACTGGGGTTTCATCTGTGTCTTAAGACTCTGGGCAGCCCAGGTGGCTCAGTGGTTTAGCACCTGCCTTTGGCCCAGGGTGTGATCCTGGAGTCCTGGGATCGAATCCCACATCAGGCTCCCTGCAGGGAGCCTGCTTCTCCCTCTGCCTGTGTCTCTGCCTCTCTCTGTCTCTCAAGAATAAATAAATAAAATCTTAAAAAAAAAAAAGACTCTGCCCCTCCTGCCTCCTGCCAAGGGTAGATCTTTGGAAAGTGTGACAGTTTGGGCTGTTACCAGCTGTCTGCTCCTTGGTGTTAGTTTCAGGTTTTCAGTGCAGGGAGTGGACCAAGGCCACTGGCTTCATGAGAACAAACATTCCCAGGGGCACTCAGTTTTGCTTCTGGCCCTTCCTGACACCCTGACACCCCAACATTTTGAAATGGTGGTTAAAAACACAGCAGGCTGCCTGTGTGCAGTCTGTCTTGGTCTAGGTTTGAATTCTAGCTCCTGTGGTTGTTACAGTACAGGACATGCTCATGGTGAGAACTTTGGAATATAGATAAAATTATAAATGGAAGAAAACCACCCATAGGATCCACCATCCAGAAGCAGTGGCCATGAGGTGGCCTTGTCCTGGGTGAGCAGCAGTGTGAACACCAGCGCCTGTTGTAGGGACAGTGTGTTGCTGGCATATCACAGTAGTAGACGTAGTAGAGTGGAGGTGTCGGTGCTCCTCCAGGGGTGCCCACAAACTGTCCCTGGCCTGCAACAGAAGGCCAAGCTTTTATTTTTATTTTTTTTTTTAAGATTTTATTTATTTATTCATGAGAGACACAGAGACACAAGCAGGGGGAGAAGCAGGCTCCATGCAGGGAACCTGATGTGGGACCCGATCCCGGGTCTCCAGGATCACGCCCTGGGCTGAAGGCGGGCCTAAACCAGGATCACGCTGGCAGCGCCTGGGCTGCCCAGAAGACCAAGCTTTTAGAAAGGCGTGTGGCAGTTTGGCGGTACCACCACTTGTGGTAAATGGCCTGCCATCTGTCTTTTAAAATTTTTCCAATTAGTCTTTCTAGTGATTCATTATTGTTATTTTTGCAAAAGTATTAGTCCCATATGGGCTGGAGAAACCTAACAAGCAGGCCAGTCCTCACCACAGAAGGGCCTATCCCGCTGGCCACGTCATTAGAGCTCACTATTGCACAGTGCTTACTGTGTGTGAGGCACTGGGTGAGTGTCAGCCCACCTGTCCTCATGGTGGCTCTGTCCCCATGGTCCAGAGAAGGAAACTGAGGCACAGGAGTTCAGGGCCTTCCCCAAGGTCACACCGCTGAGAGCGAGAGACCTGATGCCTAACTCTCAACCACACTTGCGTGCTTTCCCTCACTTGTTTCGTTATCTTTATTCTTTGCGGGCATGTTACGGCCCTCGCTGTAGATTTCGAAGACCAAGGCAGCAGTGTGCACGGCCACACTGCGTCTCACTGGTGGGTGTGCACCTTGGCACAACCTGGTTCATAGCCACACTCTCAGCCTTCTCAGGAATCTCTGATCTTGGGGACAGAATTCAGATTTACCTGTGATTTCTCAGTTCAGCTCCTGGAACTGCTGGCAGCAACGCAGGCCTGCAAGAATAGCACTTCAAAACCTTAAAAAAACACTTAAAAAAAAAAAAAAACCCACCACCACTTAAAGTGTTCTTTAGCCATATGGGATTTGATGCTTTAAAAGCTTTTATTTACTTATCTTCTTGTTTACGTGCTCATAAAATAGTAATGCTGCCCCAGAGAGCACAGTAGCATCCGGCATGGGAACTCCGAAGTGCAGAGTTGGGCATGTGCCCACCACTCTCCTCCTGTCGGGCAGCCAGGCATGCTGGACGCCAGTGCCCCAGGTCCTCACTGGGAGGGGCCCGGTGATGGCACCTGCCTGGGAGCGGGGGGCGCTGGGCATCTCTGGAGAGGCCTAGTTGTCAACCGTGTAGCCAAAGTCTCTGGGATCCTGTGATCACCTGTCCCCTGGAGACAAGCTCCTTGGAACCTGTCTCTATGGGTGATCTTCTTTTTTTTTTAGATTTTATTTAGTCATAAGAGAGACAGAGAGAGAGGCAGAGACATAGGCAGAGGGAGAAGCAGGCTCCATGCAGGGAGCCTGATGTGGGACTCAATCCCAGGACCCCGGGCTCATGCCCTGAGCCGAAGGCAGACGCTCAACCGCTGAGCCACCCAGGTGTGCTCTACGGGTGACTTAAAAAGGAGTTTGCTTTTCCCACTGTTTTATTATGAAATTGCTAATGTACCCAGAAGTATGGACAAGAGTACAATAACCCCTGGTGGAGCCATCCCGGCGCCAGCAGCAGGCTGTCCTCTGCTGATTCTGTTTCTGCGCTCCCGCAACACGTTTCCATCTGCTCGTTTGTTATTTGCTTTCCTGGAGAGGTTTCAAGAAAATCCCAGAGCGTGCCACTTCACCCATGAATCTTTCAAGAGCTTTCTGTCTGTGATGACAGAGTATTTGTTGCGCATCACGGCTAGACGAGTTCAGCACGTTTCCCCATGTCTGTGTACAAAAGAAACCAGCCTTTTCCAAAGAAACCAGAGTGGACTGTATTGGCCCCCTCAGTTGGTGAGAAGGGGGCAGAGCCTGAGCCCCCAGCTTGGGGGAGGTGCTGAGCCCGGCTTTGTGGGCACCCCTTCTCTCGACTGTGTCTGCAGAGCCCCACAGGGCACAGAGGCTCCCCCCTCTACAGCTGCGTGTTTCTGTGATGGAAGAGTTAGAGCCCGTTAGCATCAGTGGTCCTCCTGCATGCTCAGCCGCTGGTCCAAACGGGTAAACTGAGTGGAAGTGATGTCTCCAGGCCCATACCGCGTGTCGATGGTGCAGCCAGGGCTGGTGCTCCCGGGGTCCCGCCACTGGGCCTGAATGTCTCTGCCTGGGGGAGGAACATGCGTGTCCTTGGCAGGTGTCCAAGGAGGCCCTGCAGGAAGCCAGGGTTACCCGGGTGTTCTGTATCTCTGGCCTGTGCAGGGAGCTGTGGGTCACCACTGGTGGCGTCTGCACAGGCTGCAGCTCCCCTGGGGCAGGGTCCTTGGGCCAAGATACCCTCACAGTTTTTTTTTTTAAGATTTTATTTATTCATAAGAGACACAAAGAGAGAAAGAGAGAGAGAGAGAGAGGGAGGGAGGGAGAAAGGCAGAGACAGGCAGAGGGAGAAGCAGGTTCCATGCAGGGAGCCCAATGTGAGACTTGATCCCGGGTCTCCAGGATCACACCCTGGGGTGGAAGCAGGTGCTAAACCACTGAGCCACCCAGGGATTCCCGAGACCCTCACAGTTTTAATGTGACTGCATGTTCTCTGTTCAGGGCAGTGGTGTCACTGGCCCTGGATTCATGCGTGCCGTGAATCACGTCTGGGTGTGCAGCTTTGAGCCACAGTCCTGGAGGCCTGTGAATGGGGGAAGAATGGCCATCACCGAGTGGACAGGGCATGGATGCCAGGAGATGTAAATGTATCTCCTCATTTATCACTTGCAGAAACCCTACCATGTATGTGCCCACTTCACAAAATGATGGGCAAGGAGCAGAGCTCACCCCAGCCACTCCTGTGCCCGTCCATGGCGGCCCAGGCCTGAGCCCACACAGGTGCTCCTGCACTTTGCTCTCATCCCTGTCCTGGGCCGAGCACAGGGTCTGTCTTCCCCATGCTCTCTGCCAGCTTGTTCGGGGAGCATGAAACCTGTCCTGAAACCGTCCTAAATGGTGATCTGATTCCTCTAGATGAGGAGCTCTTGCCCCCCGATCAGGCACTACTTAATCGACATCCCGAACTGCTAGGGATGTTCATCCCTAAAGCAGTGATGACAGGCCAAGCCCGGCCCTGAGCTTAGAGGAGACTGGTCAACTGGCACCGCAGTTTAAAATCATGTGAAAGTCACATTGTGCACAAAATGTAGAAGTCCAGCTTCTCCTGTGAGAGGAGGGGCTGGACACAGACGGCTCCCCCCATCCCCACCTTCAGCGCCTGATGTGGCCGCTCTGGACATTTGTCCTTGCTGACTGCACCGTGTCAGCGCCCACAGTGCCCACAGCGCCCCATCCTCTCCCCCACCCTGCCCCGTGGCTGCTGCTGGATGCGAGCTCCTGTTGACCCTCTTCTGTGGGCTCCCTGAGTGCAGGGACGTTAGGCTCTGTGTGCCTGGTAAATACAACAGATGCTCAACAGACAACAGATGGATGGCCAGACAGATGGACGGCTGCCTCCCCACACTGAGGCCAAGGGCTCGGTCACATTGACCGCTGGGCTCGCTGGGTCTCTGGCCTCCTTCTCTCATCGCGTCTCCCGACCAGCTCGTGTGCGTCTCCCTGTGCTGGTCAGGAGCCTTGTTCAAGTCCGACCCACGTTCTTTTCAAACTGCGGTAAAACTCATACACAGAACTCCGCATTATAACGTGTGCAACGCGGTGGCATTTACTATGTTTACAGTGTGGTGGGTCCACACCACTGGGAGGTTCCAGAACCTTTCATCACCCCAAAAGAAGACCCTGAGCCCCATTCCTCCCCCTCCATGCCTGGTTAGGCCCTGGCAACACTGATGTGCGTCTGGTCCACACGGTCGGCCTGTTCCGGCCCCTTCCTGCAAACAGACTCCCATGACATGCGGCTGTGGGTCTGGCTTCTTGCACGGGGCGTCCCCCTCTGGGCTGTGGCAGCAGCAGCACGGGTGCCCTGGAATGGCCAGTGGCCGAGGACTATTCCTTCAGCCGCAAGACACACGTTGTGTCAGGTCCGTTGGTGGTTTCCACCTCTCAGTCTCCGTGAATATCGGCGTGTGGCTGCTTACACGTCTGTTTCCGGGTCTTTGGGGTAACACCTGAGAGTGGGTCTGTAGGTCACAAAGCAATTCTCAGTTTAATTTTCTGGGAGACCACTGCCCCGATTCCCATGAGGGCGGCTCCATGTTGCATCCCCACCCAAGACAGTCCTGAGTCTCTGTGCTGCTCCTGCGGGCTCAGGCTGTCACCTCTCCTGGGACAGGAGAGAGAGAGGAAACAACCAGACCCCTGGACTCCCTGTTCCTTCCCCAATTCTCCCAGCAGCAGCGGGCTCAACCCGCCCCCCTCTCGTGGGGACACAGGGCACATAGGTGCCCGGGGCAGGCAGGTGTTGGGAAGAGAACAGAGTGGACAGGGCTGACCACAGGGCTGGGGGTCGGATCTCAGGCTGTCAGGCGGCCTCTGCACCTGGGCACCCAGTGGGGTCTGGGGAAGACACCTGCTCCCTCACTGCTTCCTCTTCTGATTAAACTCTGCTCCGTAAACCAGGAAACCCTCCCCATTGCTGTGGCTGCTAGCAGCAAACAGGGGAAGGAGAGGGAAGGAGAGGGAGAGGAGAGTGTGGTTGCTGGGGGAGGGAAAGGGACCAAAGCCACCGGGGAGGGGGAGATAGGATGTTCCAGAAAGGACAGGGCTGTGGGGGGTACAAATGAGGTAGCCTCACCAAAGAGCCCGCTGGGCGCCTGTAGGTCCTAAGTGCCCTGCACCAGTTGTTCAATGTTTCCTTTCAGGCCTCACAGGGGTGGGAGGTGGGGGGTTGCTAAAATAATGTTCTCTCCTCTCCCATTCACCGTGTAGATGAGAAGATGCTCCAGATGCCCGAGGTCAGCTTCACCTTCCCCAGCGCCACGTGGCAGAGCAGCCCGGGCCCAAGCAGGGCCCCACTCCTGCCCCGGGACATCCGAGGTCAGTGCCTGAGCAATCCCATGGCTCACGCGTCCCTGTCTGCCCGCCACCCCCGAACCGGCCCTGCCGCTCCCCTCGTGCCCCTGCCACGTGCTCAGTAGCCATGCTCACCCGCTGGCCACTTAACAGGACGGCACAGGTCTAGCCACAGGCAAACCCACCACGCCAGCCCGCGGCTTTCATTCAGAAACAATACTGGTTGCTTCGTGTAATCGAGAGTTAAAACAACCTCCCAGAGAAGTTGTGCTAATTTTCCACATTTGCCCGAGGCACCGTGAAAGTGCCAGTTTGGCCATAACTTGTCAGGCCTGAGTGTTAACCTTAAAATACAAAGGACGCATCCTATTCCTCTTCTCCTGTGTCTTGATGACACTAATGCTGAATCCCGGAGACAGTTTAAGCCGTGTTAGCATCTGCGTTCCTCCGTGTAATCCTCACCCCAGCCTGGGAGACATGTGCTGCCTGAATCCTTTCTGGGGATGGGAGACTCCCTCTGGCAGCACTTCCTGCCCTCCTCCCCACCTCCACACTAGCACACAACCCGGCATCTGGAAGGAGGAGTATAAATCAGCAGTAGGCCTAAAGCCCACCAGGGAGGGAAGTCCTTTCTTTGATCTAACCTGGATCTGTCTTACTGTACCTTTAACCTATTCCCTCCTGTTACTGTTTCAGAATAGGTCAGGAACTCCTCATTACCATGCCCCTCTTTTCAAGTGTTCTTGGGGAAAGGGTCTCAAAAGTGTTTGTTGCCCATGCCCTGGGGCCAGTGGTACGGGCCAGTTTATTTTTTATTTTTTTTTAGAGATTTTATTTATTTATTCATGAGAGACACACACAGAGAGGCAGAGACACAGGCAGAGGGAGAAGCAGGCTCCATGCAGGGAGCCCGATGTGGGACTCGATCCCGGGACCCCGGGATCACACCCTGGGCTGAAGGCAGGTGCTAAACCGCTGAGCCACCCAGGCTGCTCCTAGGCCAGTTTAAACAGTGTGAGGGATGGGAAATCCTCCCAATGACTCCCCAACTCCAACTGTGTGTGTCAACTAAGGTGGAAAAAGTGACTGAGGAGGTCCCGGGGACAGGCCTGTGTGAGCAGAGTGCAGGGGAGCGGGGCCCCAGGCTGGGGAGGTGCGGTCCCACAGGGGACCCCAGCACAGGTGGGGCTAAGAAAGGGAAGAATGCCCACGTGGGTCCTGAGTCAAGTCTGGCTGGCAGCTGAGGCCAGGACCAGGACACCCACCTAGGGACCCAGCCGTCGGGACCCTGGCTTTACTGGCCTCGACCACGGACTAGAGTCTCCCCACTCCTGCAGGGTCTACAGATAGTGGAGGCCGACACCACAGCCCACTGCCTCCCAGCACGCCCCACAAGCCCCGGGGCAGCGCCAAGCGGCCGAGAAGGCCACAGTGAGGATGTCAGCCAGAAGGCCAGGCATGCGAGGGAAGGCCAGAGAGGCCAGCCCCAGGCACAGGGCTCTCTCTGCCCTGGAGTTGGGTTCAAGAGATGGAGCCCTGGCAAGGACACTTCAGGGGGCAGCCAGCCAGCTTCCCACTGCTCTCTGTGCTGGCGGCTGCCTCACCAACCGTGTCAGAGGGAAGGCCGTTGATGGAACATCAGAGCCCTTCTGAAGGACATCTCAGGAGGAGCCTCAGGCCTCATCTGGGTCATTCCCATTTGTGAGTGATCTTCCCAGGATCACTCCACCCCATAGTCTCTGCTCTGGGAGAATGGTTTCCCTCTCCACCTGATTAGGTGAGACCCACCCACACTGCAGCAGGTCCTCTGCTGAACCCGACATCTCCTTACTGATGTATTTATTTTTTAAAGATTTTATTTATTTGTTCATGAGAGACACAGAGAGAGGCAGAGACACAGGCAGAGGGAGAAGCAGGGAGCCCGATGCAGGACTTGATCCCAGGACCCTGGGATCACAACCTGGGCCAAAGGCAGATGCTCAACCATTGAGCCACCAAGGCGCCTCTCCTTACTGATTTAAATGTTAATCTCATCTGAAGAACACCTTCACAGCACCACTGACCGCTGATGTTTGATGAAACGCCTGGGTATCATGGCCTGGCCATGTTGATGTTTCAAATTCACCCTCATGCCCCATGGGCCTTGGCCAGCAGAGTGACACCATCCTGTCCCCATGTTCACATAGGCTCTGGGGGAAGCCTGCATTGGGGAAGCATGAGAACACTCCCCATTCTCGTGACCCATCCATCCTGTCACTGTGTTGTAACGTCCGTCCCCACACACCACGGCATGGAGGACATTGAAGCAGAATCGTCAAGGAGCATGAAGCCAGCCGTGTAATCTGGGAACCCAGAAATCGAGATCCTAACTTTTTGTCAAGACAGGAAAGTCCGGGAAACTCTGAGCACCACTCGTGGAGGGCTGAATCATCGCCTTCTCCAGCTGTGCTTTCAGCGCTTGCTGTGGCTTTCAAACCACTGCCTACATCTCGGACTCTCAGAGGCATCCCCATTTGGAGGTCATGGGGACCAGAGCTACCTCCGATGCAGCATCCGGTGGAATCTATGGGTTTTAGGAATCAGCTTGTTAGCACATTAGGGCTGGAAGGTAGAGGCGTGTTGTTGTCTCACGGCCTGAGCAGTCAGCAGGTTGGCTTGGACCTGTGTATGCCTGGCACATGGCAGACACCCTATAAGTGTGCAAACCGCACAGCTGGATGCCATGCCCTCTCATCGTAGGACCTGCAGTCAAGGAGGAGCTGCTGGGCCTTCTGGAAGAGTGTGTGGAGGTGGGGAGGTCGGTCCCACTTATCTTTGGGGGCTCTGCTGTCTGCTTGGTGCAGACCTGCCAGGGGCACCCTCTGATGCTCACTTCCCCTTCCCTGGGGGAAATGCTGAGCCTGGGGGGCAAGGATGACTTCTGCTTTCCTGCCCTGGCCCCAGATCCCGGGTAGGGCAAGAGTTACTGGTTGCCCCCTATATCTGCTCACTTTGTTCCAGGATAATAGAACCCCTCATTTTTAGCTAGTCAAACAGCTCACAAAATAAGGACTGTATCTCCCAGCCTCCTTTGTGGCTGCATATTGCCATGTAACCAAGTGACAGATGGGATACAAGCAACTGCTTCCAGGAATCTTCACCACAAAGGATAATACGCATTTTCCTCATGCCTCTTTCCTTCTTCACTTCCTCAATCATACTGCCTGGAATCTGGATGTGATGGCTGGAGCTCTAGCCACCGTTTTGAAGCCTTGAGGACAGAGGTCTTGAGGACAAAGGCCATGCCTTCAGGAGGATGGAGTGGGAAGTTGGAAGGAGCAGAGATGCCTCTCAGCATTGTTACACCCTACCCACAGATGAGAACTTGAGAGGAATAAATGTGTATCCGAGGCTCACCTTGTCTTAGCTGATCAGGGAGGGGAAGCCCAGGCAGTTGGCAAGTTGTGGCCAGAGAAGTCCCTGGTAATTTTGTGGAATGACATCAACAGATTAGAAATGACAGCATGGTGGGACGTGGGGTCATATAGGGGCCCCAAGTTCTTCCTAGGCTGGTGTGAACATACAGAAGGAACTCCTGGTCTTTCTGCACCCTGCCTTGAGCTGGGTGGAAAGGTGGGTCACAAAGAGAGCTGTAGACCGGGAGGCTATGGACTGGCCCAGGCATCTGAGAGATGGCTGAGGAGGCACTTACATCGGGGGAGTAGGGGTGGTATCCCAATCTCATAGGGGGGGTGTACTAGGGTTCTCCAGCAAAACAGAACTACTGGGGTATGTGTATGTGTGAAGATACTTGGTCTAGGGAACTGGCTCATAATTGCGAAGGCTTGGCGAGTCCACAATCTTCATGGTGGGCCAGCAGGCCAGAGGCCCAGGGAAGTGCCACAGAAATCCTTTTTCCTCGGTGAAGCTCAGGCTTTTGCTCTAGTCCAGCCTTCAGATGGTGAGATGAGGCCCACCCACGTTGTGGAGGACCGTCTGCTGATTCACATGTTAATCTCACCCCCAAACACCCACATGGGAACATCCAGAATAATGTTTGACGCACATCTGAGTGCCATGGCCCAGCCACATGGACATGTAAAATTTGTTGTCCCAGGGTTGTAGGGGGACACAGGACCAGGAAGAGCCCAGGGTGGAGAGGTTCACAGCCCCTCTGGGCCAGTGGTTGACAGCTGGGGAGGCCCCTGAGCTCAGGGTCAACCCAGGTGATGGAGGTGGGGTGGGGGGGAGGATCTTGAATTTGGCCCAGTTTGAACCCAAAATGACTGAGAAAAATAACACAAGCATCTGAATATCCCCAGGGGTTGTATTTGGGTGCATTGAGCTCATGTGACTGTAGAACTTGCACCTGTGACAGAAAGGTCACACTGTGATCTCACCACTTTAGAAAGGCAGAAAATTATATAAAGGGAGCATTAAGAACGTCCTTCCCCACCTGTGCCTTTTTGGAGGTAAATCCCCTTTAACAATTGGGTGCATGCTCTTCCCAGTTTTCCCACAAAATAACCCATTAAGAAGTGTCTCAGCGTAGGTCCCCACAATTGCAGAGGCTGTCACAAGACCAGGACGCAGGTGGCTTCTTTGGGAGGTGATGCCAGGGGAGCAGGGAGGCCAGACCATGTGAGACTGGGAAGGGAGAAAGCCACCATGCCCATGGGTATCACCATGGTGCCTCTGTGGGCAGCAGGAGGTGAAGTTTGCTTACCAGCCTGGAATCAACCCCCAAGCACCAGGGAAGGGGATCCTGGGGGCACTGGGCCTGCCTTAGGCTGTGTTTGCAAGTGGCCCAAGCATTCTCTCCCCATCCCCAGCAGTAGAGGAGTCCCTGGGCAGAGAATGGAAACTGATGCAAAACTCAGAGCAAACTACATTTCGGCCACATTGGATCTGCCTGCAGGCTGCAGCTTAAGGCCAAGGTGAGGCCTGGGGGCCAGAGGCATCCGGGATGAAAAAATCCTTTACATACATACTCATGCACAAACGTGTGCACACCCCCATGAACTGGTCTCCCGCCTCCCACCCTGCTGTTGCTCACACTGTCCCCTCTGCTTGGAAGCCTTCCCCACCCTCTCTGCCACCTTCTAGTCCTTTCCCAGGAGGCCTCCTCTTCTTCCCTGCTGGGCCAGGTACCTCAGAGCCTCCCCTGGCACTGCACTCACCCACCACATTTCTGTCCCCACCACTGTACCTTTGGCACAACAGACCAGCCCTGCCTTACATCTCTGTGTCCTCCCTGGCCCCGAGCAGGTGCCCATGGATGGGATGGAGGGACAAGGGAGGGAGGGAGCAGGTGTGGGCAGGTACTGCGCTGAGAGCAGGAGGTGCAGGGCCGAGGCCCTGACCTGGGACAGCTGTGTGTGGTGGGAGGTTGGTCCCTCCACAGCCAGTATGGCACACTGGGAGATGTGCATATGTGTACACATGCACAGCAGCCATCCAGGTGCTTTCCTGGGCCTGTGCTGGGCCCCAATCGAGGCAAGGGAATGCAGGCATTGAAACAAACAAGATGTCAAAGAAACAAGAGGGTAAATCTTTATCCAGCCCCTAACCTCACTGCAAGCCCCTAGGGGCTGTCGTCAGCTTAAGGCCTGGGGATGTGGAGCACTACGTTGGGTATTCATGCCCAGGTAGCTGAGCTGGGATTTGAACCCAGGGTGTGTGGTCTCTTCACTTGTGACCCCTGGAAGCCAGGCAGGATATGCTGGGCAATAGAGAGTCACAGCATGTTCACAAGCAAGAAACACAAGGGTGGCTCACAGCAGCTCGGTGAAGGTGAGCTGAAGGCTTGTGGACAAGGAATGAGCATGTTAGAGAGTCCTTTACCGTTTGAGAACCTGGTGAGATCCTGTGGTTGCCATCCATGTCACATATGCACACCTGTGTGTCTACCCTCACCGGTATGTGCCACGTGGAACAGCCACGGAAGGAAATCCTGGGAACGGGTCACTGTGAGGGGCTCAGGGGCAGGTGGGCAGGAGACTCCTTTTCATTGCATGCATTTTCTATGCATTTGGATCTTGTTTTCCTGTAACTTCATGTGGGGAAAAAAAGGAATTATTTTTAAAAAATAACAATTGTTCTATATGCTGGTGAGGGCAGCTCTCTGAAATATACCAATAGAGGTTCAGAACAGCACGTATGATAAGCTCTTATGTCTATATGACAATTATATAATATAACATATGCAAATGTGGTGGTGGTGAATTATTTCTCCAAGAATTCCCGACACAAAGACAGAAACCCGTGCTCCGTTTGTGAGGCCCAAGCCACTGATCAGAGGGAGGGTGGAGCTGGGAGGAAGGAGCAAGCCTCAGCCCTGGAAATGGATTCTTTTTGTTCTACAGACGGATTCTCCCCCAGTTTCTGGTCTGTTCCACGGGGCCCCTCCCAAGAGGGGAGGCAGCTCTGTGCCGCCCCTGACTTTGTGGAAGGCACCCTTCCTGGAAGGTTTGCTGTGATGCTCAGAGCATCAGCTTTCTCCTCTGCCTGCGGCCCAAGGTCCAGGTGGTGCAAGGGCACCAGGTGGGTTAGGGAGGGAAAGGAATCCGGAGGCCCAAGGAGGGAGCCAAGTGAAGCCCCAGTAGGCATAAGTGCCAAGGATGCAGTCACCACTGGGCAGACACATGCTGGCCGTCTCAGAGTCCACATTGTAGAGGAGGTGCGGGCAGAGAATGAGTGGTAAGCACTCTGATGAAATCAAGCTGCAGGGCCACAGTGCTTGGTGGGCTACTTTAGAGAGGCTGGTCAAGGAAGGCCTCCTAGAGGAAGCACTAGGCTGTGCAGAGCAAGAGCAAAGGCCCTGGGGCACACTGGTGGTGTTGGCTCTGATAACATAAGGCAGTAAACAGCAGAAGCCCTGAGCTACATCAGGAGGTGCTATGGCCTCAATGTCTGTGTCATCCTAAAATTCATACTTTGAAATCCTGACCCCCAGTGATGATGGTATGAGGAGGCGGGGCCTCTGGGTCATGGGTCATGGGTCACTGTGCCTGGGTCATGAGGGAGGAGCTCTCATGAATGGAACCAGTGCCTTCATAGAAAAGGCTCCGGGGAGCTCTCCAGATCCCTCCACCATGTGAGGACATGACGTGAAGGTGCTGGCCATGAACCAGGAAGAGGGCCTTCCCCAGAATGTGGCCATGTGACCCCTTGGTCTTGGACTTCCAGCCTGTAGGACCGTGAGCAGTAAATGTGTGTTGTTGATAAGCCTCCCGCCTGTGCTACCTTGTAGCAGCAGGAATGGACTAAGATAGTCCGGGCAGAGGTGTGGGCATTCCAGAGAACCAGCAGGTCCTATCGAGCACTGGAGCTTTGACGGAGGACACGTGAAGACTTCTGAATTGCCCCCACCTGCCTGCCTGCAGGGTGGACACTGTCCAGTGACCGCACCAGGGGTTCTGGCATCCTCTACAGGATGGCGGAGGCTGAACCTGCAAACGAGGGGACCCTGCCGGAAACATCCTGTGCTCACCTCTGTGTTGTTTTGAGGCTTTGCCGCAAGAGGAAAGGGAGGTAGGGGAGCAGATTCAAGAATCCGGCCTGGAGAGAGATGCGCAGGGAAGACCCTGCTGGGGAATGGTGGTCAGTTTCCCTGCAGGGGAGGACACAAAGTCTGAGTGGCCCAGAGGAGTGAGCCTGCAGGCATGCAAGCAGGGACAAGACCCGTGTCACACTGGTGACAAAAGCCACCAGGTGGCAGGACGGCTAACATCTCTCTGGCTCCCTCCTGAGAACGAGGAGGCTGGAGGCTCATTCCCCGAGCTGGCTTGTTCTTTCTGGTTTTGCATAGATCAGCCTGTGTGTGGGACACGAGGGCTTGGTTACGACTCAGCCAGTGGCTTCTCCCCCTGCCAGGGTCCCCAGGCTTCCTGTCCATACTCCAGGGTAGCCTTTACCAGGTGGAATTGGAGGGCTTGGTTTCACTCTTGCAGTGCAACTCAGGCTCCGTGAACCAGAGCCAGGGTGCCCTCACCTTGGCCCTCCAGGGGCCCCCTTTCCTTCCCTTTGGGGGCTCCTGCTGTCCCTTGAATGAAATGTAGCCTCTGTGGCATCTGCTCCTACTGGCCATTCCAGCAACCAGGAGGGTGAAGCAGCAGGCAGCTGAGAGGGCTTGCCAGAACTGGGTTTAGGGTGAGGTGCATCGGGCTTGGCAGACCTCTGGGGTGCTGGCTGTCACTGACATCACTTCAGATGCTCCCATCTCCAGCCAGCACCACTTTTCCCTGAGTTTAAGATGAAAGCATCCTTGTGTCTCCTCAACAGCTGTGCATTTCTTGCTCGGCATGCATAGGACCAAGGGCACAAGGTTTGGGCCCTAGACTATTCTCTAGTGTTTCTGACCTCTCTTAGAGGCACACCCTTGGCCCCTCTGCCCCCTCCCTCCACCAGCCAGTCCTAAGCCTGCCCTCCTCATTCCATGCCCCAGTCCTCCTCTCCCACCCCCTCTCTTACACCCACCCCATGCAGGGGGACCCTGCAGTGCCTCCTGGCTGGTCTCCCTGCACAAATGCTGTCAGGGGTCAGCACTCCACACACATGGCCTCTCTTGTGCATAACCAGCGCAGGAGGTGAGGGTTATTATTTCCAGCATCATCCATGTAAGGACATGGGGGCCCAGAGAGGCTAGAAGGCCCGCCAAGGTGGCACAGGTGCTGGGAAATCGCCCCAGCACCCCTGGCGGGGTGAGGGAGGGCTTGCCACCTCTGGATTGGCCCACACCACCCAGTAAGACACGGGACATCAAAACTGCAGTGAGACCGAGGTGGTGCAGAGGGCGCACGCGTGCAGGATGCATCAGGGGGGCTCGGGCATCTGCACCCTGGGGTTTTTCCTGTCTCCTGCAAAGATATAGGTGGACTTTGCGATCCTCACACCTCTGCTTTGTTTTCTCATTTTTCCCTCGTGGATGCTCCCACCAATCCGGAGCCCAGCGAGCACTCAGAATCTCCCCGCGGCCTCTATCACCCGCAGATGACATTTCCTGCCCAAGCCACAGCCTCTTCTCTTCCCTGTTATGCTGGTTATGAAACCAGAAATAGTTGCAGGCGGCATGGGACACCAAGATAACTCAGACCAAAACACGGAGACTGAGCCAGGCTGTGTCAGCCTGGGGAGGCTGCAGCCTTTGCACCAAGGGGCCAGGGGCCCCTGAAGGTGGGCCACACAACCAAGTTGCTATGGAGACAGACAGACAGACAGCTGGGGTCCACCAGCTTGAAGGCGCCCAGGGCCTGGAGGAGGGGGAGATGAAAGCTCCAGGGCGGAGCTGGCCTGCTCACAGACCCCTCCCAGCAGGTGCCCTCCAGCTGGCCTGTGCAGCTCCGGCTCCCCAGCCCCAGACTCTGCTTCTGGGCCTGACTCTGCCACTTGCGCCACTGTGTGTCTCTGGGTAGTTGCTTCACTTCTCTAACACTCTGCTACCCCATCTGTGGACAAGGAGAGAATACGTAGCTATGTCAGAGGGGGTAAGGATGCTGGTGCAGAGCTAAGGTTAAGAATTGGGTTTGGGCTTGGTTTGGTTTTTTTTTTTTTTTTTTTTCAATCGAGGTGAAACTGACATAAGACCAAAACCAACCATTTTAAAGGGAACACTTGGGCGGCATGCAGCACGTTCACAGTGGCCGGCAGCCGCCACCCCCATCTGGTTTGGGCACAACTCACTGCCTCCAAAGGGGACCTGGCTGCATTCTGCTGTTGCACACCCCTTTCCCCCTCCCAGGGAAGGGCTAGTTCCAGCCCAGCTCCAGGTCCTGCCAGCTGAGACCCTTGCCCCGCTTCCCGAGCCTCAGTCCTGGCCCTCACCAAAAGGCCTGGGAGCTTTGTTTAAAGTCCCAGTGAGGCTTTGCCAGCGTGAGATGGTGGTTCCTGGGAATGTGAATCTCTGTTTAATCCAAATGAACTTTTATCAATCCTCCCAGATATGGGGCAACTCCTGGGAAATTCCTTAAAATCCGCAGCATGCTTTGTCCTGGCAAACGGTCTGAGAAGTCTGGCTGTTATTAATCATTTGAACGGTTATTTCCTGGGCCCACTCTTATTTGGGGGACAGGGGACACTTTTATCTTATCGAGAGGGTGCCCATTACCCGCTCTGCAGGCCACTGTTTCAGGGCATAGCTGGGAAATTGCTGCCTTAGAGGAAACATTAATTGAGCACCTCTGAATACAGGGCCCCTGGGTAAATGACTTCATCTTCATCGTGCACCATTTCTTCATAATCAGGAAAATCCTGGCTAGAGAAAATTTAAAATGATTTTTTAAATGAATATATATAACTTACTGTCACAATGTGTATCCTTTTGAATGTGAAGTTTTAGGAGTTTGGACAAACATAGCCATGTGACCACCAGCACCACAATCAAAATCTAAATAGTGCAGTCAGCCCCCAAACCTCTCCCTGCCCTTGGGTAGTCAACCCTCCCCTAAACCCCAGCCCCAGAAAGCACCCATTGCTGTAGTTTGGCCACGTCCAGAACATCATCTAAACAGAATCACAGGGCTATGCGCTGTTTTGAGATTGGCTGCGTGCGTGGAGTACCTAAGGCTCATCTGTGTTGTTGGGTGTATTGATGGTTTTCTAAGTGGTTTTCTACCACTGAGTTAGCATCCCAGTGTAGGGATGTCCCACAGTTTATCTGTTCATTTGCCAAAGGAATTTGGGGTTGTTTCTGGTTTTTGACAATTATGAAGAAGCCACTAAAAACACTCATGCATACATTTTTGTGCAATGGAAGTCTTCATCTCTCTTAGATAAACCCCTAGGAGTGGGTTTGCTGGCTTGTATGGTAGATTTCCGTTTTACTTTTTACAAAACTGCCAAACTGTCTTCCAAGGGCCTGAGCATTCCTATCAGCAATGTAGGAGAGTTCCAGCTGCTCTGCATCTTCATTAGTGCTGGGCACGGTCAGGTTTTATTTATTTATTTATTTGTTTGTTTGTTTGTTTGTTTATTTATTTATTTGATTTTACCTATTTATTAATGAGAGAGACACACACACACACAGAGGCAGAGACACAGGCAGAGGGAGAAGCAGGCTCCATGCAGTGAGCCCGACATGGGACCCCATCCCAGGACCCCAAGACCACACCCTGGGCCAAAGGCGGCGCTAAATCGCCTGGTGGTTAAACCAGCCGGGCTGCCCATGGTCAGGTTTTAAAATTTTATTTTAACCATTCTAATAAATATTTAAAAGGAAATAAAAGTTTATTATGTGATTTTTCATAAATGCTGCTATGGGCTAAACTGTGTCCTCACCAAAAAAGGGCATGTTGGAGCACTAACCACCAGAACCTCAAATGTGACCTTATATGAAGATAGGATCTTGAAGAGGGAAATCAAGTTAAGATGAGGTCATTAGAGTGGGCCCTCATCCAGTGTGACTGTGCCATTACAAAAGAGGAAATGTGGACACAGAAACATAGAGAAGCAAAACGAGAGACACAGAGATGATGGCCAACAAGCCCAAGAGCAAAGCCCTGGGCAGACTGCCCCTGGCAGCCTCAGAAGGAAGCAGCCCCTCCGACTTCCAGCCTCCAGTACTGAGAGGGATCCATTTTCTGTGGTTTAAGCCTTCTGGCCCATGGTGCTTTGTTATGACAGCCTGAGCAAGCTATTATGCATACAAAACAAAACAGGTGAAATAAATATCTTTAAGTTTTGGATCTTGTTAGTAAAATGACTTATCCATCACCTACCACCAACTTAAGAATGAGAATGGAACCACTACCTTCCCATCTCCCTGTGTGTACCTTCCCTGTGCCATCCTGCCCTATACCATCCTGCCCCTTGCCATGCTGCCCTGTGCCACCCCACCCTGTGTGCACCTGCCCTGTGCCACCCCACCCTGTGTGCACCTGCCCTGGGCCACCCCACCCTGTGTGCACCTGCCCTGGGCCACCCCACCCTGTGTGCACCTGCCCTGGGCCACCCCACCCTGTGTGCACCTGTCCTGGGCCACCCCACCCTGTGTGCACCTGCCCTGGGCCACCCCACCCTGTGTGCACCTGCCCCGTGCCATCCCGTCCTGTGCAGCACTGCCTGCCTGCTGGAGGGGCCCTCTTCCCGGGGAGTGGAGTGAAGGGGACCTAGGGATATTGGAGGCTGTGGAGAGAGCACCCACTGCTTTGAGGTGATAGCTAGAGAGGGTAAAGGGTACGGTCTTGTTTCTAAGCAGGGAGAGGCTGACCACGGTTAACGCAGAGAAGCGGTTGGTGGACGTGTTTGTGAGCTGTCCTTCCCGTAGGAGAAGCCTGGCCTTGCTGTGTCCCAGGACCCAGCAGGTGGGACCCCGTGGTGACTGACTGGCCACTGGGCCAGGAGTGAGGACAGAGCCTCCCCTCGGAGGCGGTCCGGTCACCGCGAGGAACCGCACAAGCCATCACGGATGCGAGCCTGCTGTGGGTGGCTGGTGGAGATGGCTGCACAGCAGTGAATGCGCACGAAACACGGCGAAGGGGGCGAGTTTGATCCTACGCGTATTTTACCCCAAGGGGCTGAAGGCACCACCCCCTGGACGGACCCGGGACAACCTCGGGGAGGTTCGGTCACCCGCCCAGGCCCCGGCCCGGGAGCGTCGCCTCTGCCAGCGGTCTGCGGAGGTCGCGAACGAGCGGGGTAAACAGCAGGCGCTGGGTAAATGCAGGTTAGAGGGACCCACCCCCCACCCCCCGCAGGGCCACACGCCGCGGCCACTCCGCGCTCGCCTGGCGCGGACCCGCTGGGGGCGGAGCCAACGCCGCGGCCCGCAGGACCGGATTGGCTGCTGGGGAAGGGGGCGGGCTCCCGGCGCCGGGGGGCGGGGGGCGGGGCCTATCGCTGGTCGTAAATACGGCGCCACATGGCACTGGTTGGGGAGGCCGGGCGGGCGGGGAGCCGGCGGCGCAGGCGCATTGAGGGAGGGCGCCCCTCGGCCTCCGTGGCCCCTCCGCGAGCCGCGACATCTCGCGAGACGTGGGGCGGGAGGCGGGGCTCCGGTCGGCGGGGGCGGGGCCGGCGGAGGAGGGGCGGCCTCGGGAGGGTCGGCGGGCGGCGAGGCGGCGGCGGGCGGCGAGGTGAGCTGAGCTGAGCTGAGCCCGCGGGGCGGGGGCGGGGGCGGGGGCGCGGGCGCGGGCGCGGGGCGCGGACGGGCGGGCCCCGGCTCCTCCTGCAGCCTGCAGGCGGGTCCGCTGCGCCCCGGGCCGAGCCCCCGGCCGAGCCCCGCGCGGGCCGCTGTGTGACCTTGGCCCGGCTCGCACCCTCTCTGAGCCCCCGAGCGGCCCGGCTGGAGGGCGGCGGCGGCGGGTGGGGCGCCCGGCAGGCGCGCTCGCGGTCCCCTTGGGGGCTCTGCGGGAGCGTGGACGCCACCTCGGCGGTGCGGGCAGCGGGCCCCACGCCGCAGTGCCCGGGGTGGGCGGGGGGAGACCCCACCCCCGGAGCACCCCCGGGGCTTCGGGCACCTCCCGCCGGCCTGCGCTGCGCGGCCCCGCCCCGGGGAACCCCAGGCCGGCCGCTGCGGGGCCGCGGGGCCTGGAGGGGGCCTCCCCGTCCTGCAGGGACCTTCAGCTCGGAAAGAGCGTCCTGCGCTACGGAGAGGGGAAGCCGTGCCCTGGCCGCGCGCAGGGCGACCTCCGGCTCCCGCTCGGGCTCCTGGCCATCGGGCACCCCTGGCGAGCCGCTGGCGCGAGCACAACGAGCCACGGTGTGTCCGCGATTTATTAAATTATTTACCCTCCGCGGGGGCTCGGAGGGACGCGGGAGGCTCGGGACGGACGGGGGCGTGCGGCCGCCCCTGTGGGGGTGGGGGTCCTGCCGCCGGGGCGCGGGTGCAGCCCTTCCCGGTGAGCACCTGGCGGGGGCGTGCGAGTCGGAGCCGGCGTCTGCGGGGCCGGGGGGCGGGGGGCGGGGGGCACACAGGGACAGTCGACGTGCACTGTGCAGGATTGGAGTGTTCGGCGGATCTGATGCACCCGTGCTGCAGTCTGCGCGGCGCCCCGGCGGCGGCCCACACCCCGGCGCAGGGCTCGCGCTGCGGGCGGGAAGGCGGCGCTGCTCCGCGCTCGGACCGCGTCTGCGGGGAAGTGCGTGGCGCTCCGTTTTCTTGCGGGTTAGTTTGCAGGACTTTGGGTGTATTTTTGCAGGCCTGCGGTACCGCTCGCTGTTACTGTGTGCGCGCTTCACCAGTTCAGCCAACACGCAGCCTCTGATCGTTTATTTGCAAGATGCCAGACTGGGCTAGCTGCTGCTGCTGTGGTTAGGCTGGTTATCATACGGTGTCACTGGTGCATCTAGGTCATTATTTGCAGACTGTGAAGAAACGGGGAAGAGTTCAGTTTATTTCGTGGTGTGGAGTTTTCGCAGGGTGGAGACCACGTATTGGATTGGGGGGGGGGTCCTTGAAGGCCAAGTAAAGGTTGGAGAGAACATCGCAGGTGGAGGCAGCAGTGTGTAGGGACCTGGAAGCAAGTGGGGTGTTTGGGAGTGCGGTGGCAGCAAGCCCCTGTGTTCACTGGGAGAGAAGGTTTGAGGATTGGGGTCAAAGCTGAGGCTGGAAAGAGATTTCTTACTGAAGGGTTTTGAATGCTATTCTAGAGTTTGGGCTGTTTTCCTGCTCTCCTGTGAGGGCGTGGTCAAGGTTTTGGGGGGGGATGTGATAGGGCTGTGTTTCACGAAAGTAGACAGGTGATAACGGAGAGGGCGGGTTCAGGGTGTGGGGAGCTGCAGACTGAGCTGGGTACAGCTGTATGGGGAATGGCTCCAGGACCGAGGCCGAGAGAGTGGAGTGGGTCACCAGATTGGAGCAAGCAGGAGAACCTGCAGGGTGATGGTGCTCCGTGGGGTGTGGTGAAGGGGAAAGGGAAAACACTACCAGAACTGGGGTTTCTCACTTTGGGTGCTTCGAGGTCAGAGCTGGTGTCTGTGATGAGAAGTGCTGGAGCGGGCATGGAGGGGCATTTGGGTTTTAGGTTTGCAGAATTCGTGTTGTTCATGGGCCACCTTGGATGAGACACCCTCTCATAGACAGAGTGTCTGGGGCAGAAGCCTGGGGAAGATGAGCCAGGAAGGGATAGGTGGTGGAAGAGAAGTGTCAGATGGCTGACACCAAGCCTGCAGTATACGGCCATGACTGCATATCATCACTGCTGGGGGGTGATTCTCTTCTAGAAAGGTCTGGAAGCTCAAAAGCCCTTGTGGAGGAGAGGCTGTTTCATGATAATGCTGAAACAGATGCACCTAGTTTATCATTAAAAAAAAAAAAAAAAACACAACTTAGGGGATCCCTGGATGGCTCAGCGGTTTAACGCCTGCCTTTGGCCCAGGGTGTGATCCTGGAGACCCGGGATCGAGTCCCACATCCGGCTCCCTGCATGGAGCCTGCTTCTCTCTCTGCCTGTGTCTCTGCCCCTCTCTCTCTCTGTGTCTCTCATGAATAAATAAATAAAATCTTTAAAAAAAACAAACCACAACTTATATCTTATTTTCGATTTTTAAATTTTCTCTTTCTCTTTAGGAGATAGCAGTTGGTTTCACACCTACTTAGGGTGTCTTGTGGCTGTGGCCAGGGCTGCTGGTTCTCCAGTCATTCGCCAGTAGATGGGCCTCATGATAGCTGACACAGCAACTCCGTCCTTCCTGCAGTTAACCAAGGTGGCGGTTTCTGTAACTGTCTAGAGAACTTGACAAATATTTCGGAGAGGAGAGGGAAATGCCAGACATAGTTGGGTAGGCGAGAGGGGTGGCTGCTACGCCCAACACAAGGGGATGCAGTGAGTGGAGTCTGTGGCTCCCAGAACTCCACCAGTTGGCACTTTTCTCTTCAGGCAGGAGTGGTAGACTCTTTGTGGAGTGTAAGTAGCTCAAGAGAAAGGACCGAGAAATAGTGACATAAGGGGGTCCCCAGGAAGGAGGCCCAGGTGGATCCCTCACTGATGAAGCTCATAATTATAATCTCTCCCCAGGGCTCAAAAGCTCCCAAGTTCTTTTGGTGTCCTACCTCTTAAGTAGGGGCAGTAAACAAGGACATGTGAAAATGATTTGGAAGGTAAAGACTCCAGCACCCACTTGCCGGCCATGGAAGGGTGTGCAGGAGGAGGACTGAACAAGCCGACCACTGCTCTATTAAAAAAAAAAAAGTGAGGGGAACACCCAACCAAAAAAGAATTCTTGGTTATAAAAAACACAATGGCAGAAATAAAAAGCTCGGTTGGTGGGTGAAAGACAGTTGAGGAGCTGGGGAAGATAAGCCTAAAAGCAGAGATGGGAAGCGAGAGAAGAAAGGATAGGATCAGGAGTCTGACAGCTGAATAACCCGTTTCAGTAAGAAAGAAGAGAAAAAGAGAGGACAAGGCCATCCACAAAATGATGTGAGAGAATTTCCTAGAACCAGAACTGTGTGTGGAAGGGCCCCCCCCAGGTGACCATAGCTCTGGGTGCAGAGGCAGGTGTCCTTCACCACCACCCCCCACCCCCGTCTCTCTGGCTCCCCATGTGGGTTCCTGTAGTGTGGGGAGCAGGTGTGCGCAGTGAGGGATGCCGAGTTTCCACAGTAACCAGTGAGAGTTGGGGGAAACAAGGGATTTATTTGGAAATGCATGTGAAGCTGTCAGTTTCAGAATTTGGGTAGTAAGAGTGCGGATGGAGAGAGATGTGCACACCCACTCCCAGGCACATTGTTGTGAAATTTCAGAACTCGGGGACAAGGAAGATTGTGCTAGCTTCTAGAAAAAGAATAAAAACAGGCCACCAGCAGGACCCCATGGAACAGAGCAGAACGCTTTGGGGACCTGTCCACAGCAGCACTGGAAGGTGGAAGGCAAGAGAGCATGGCTTTCCGAATTCCAAAGGAAAATATTTTCCGCCTCGAACTCTGTACTCAGGCAAAGGAGAGTAGAATGAAGAGATTTTCAGGCATGCTCCAGAAGTTCACATCTCATGTACTGTAAGGCAGCGAGTGACAGCCGTGCTCTCCCTGAATGAGGTGGTGAGTCCAGAAGGACCGAGCCTGAGGAGGTGGGGTTTACCTGGGAGAAGGTAGGGAGGCCAGCGTGCACACCTGAGCGGGTCAGAAGGCCCCTGGGAGAGTTTTGGGGGAAGTGAAATGGGCAGGGCAGCTGATGTGCTGGAACAGCTGGGGAAGAGATGTGGACAGCTGGCAGAGCTGGGGCTGGACTCGTGATGAGTCCATGGAACACAAAGCAAATGAGAGCACAGACTGTTATTAGTTCCAGGGAAAATAAACCGTTGTGCAGGAAAAGAGAAATAATTACGGTGTACTGCAAGGCTCAGCTGTGAACAGCCTTTGCACAATGATAATAATTTATGTAAACATGGAATATTGCTCTAATTGAAATGATGAGGTGCCTGTCTGGAGACGGTGTGGGAGGAGTGGGATGTGGGTGTGTGAAGGGCCTGTGGGTGGGGTGGGGGGGGACACTGCACTACCATCTGCCCGAGGGGGAGGCCCATACCGAGCCTGTTCTTCATGGGGGGGAGGGAACACCCTGGATTCAGCCAACTGGGTGGAGATGGGTAACGGGGAAGGGACAGGGGGCTGCTGTGCATTGTGGTAAATTCCCCAACACTATTTCATCCTTTAACACACCAACGTGTGTGCCTAACGTTGACAAAAATTAAGACAGCCGCACCAGGCTTCCGGCTTCACTGGATGAGGAGGCTCTGATCTCGCCTGTGTTTGGTGTACCCGCCCTGTTCCTCATCATGGGGAGTTTACTTGTTCCTAATTTCCTCTTCATTATTGTCTTTGTTCTCTGTATCCTGTCTCCTGGCTGTGGCCACATGTCGGAGTGGAGGGCTTTCTTTAGCTATTTTACTTTTCCTTTAACTTACTATGAAGGGATTTTAAAGCACATTCAGAAGTAGAAAGAGCGCTATTGTGAAATGTTGATTCCCTGTCACCCAGTTTCGGAAATCATAAAACAGGGTCAGTTATATCTGTTTTTTTTTTGTGAGCAGAACAGTTCTTTATTGAGTACCTGCTGTATACCAAGCACTGTTCTAAGCCTTGAGGCCACCTGCCTTCTCAAGTGTCTATTTTAGTGCAGACAGACAGCAAATAAGCCAGAGAACATGAAATGGTGGAGGTATGACACATGCCACAGAGAAAAAGCAGGTCTGGATGATGGGTCATACAGCGTGAGGAGTGACCAGGGGAGGCCTCGCCCATGAGGTGAGCTTTGAGCAGAGATCAGAAGCAAGTGTAGGGTGGAGCCGCCAGATTCCCCTGGCATGCCTGCCTAAGCAGAGGACAGTGGATGCGGGCCAGGCAGCAGAAGCTGATGAACAGCAAGGAGGCCATTGTGGCTGGACTGGGGCCAGTGCGGGTGACAGGGAGGGCAGAGGAAGAGATGAGTGTGGGATTCCACCAGGTAGGGCTTGTCACTGGCCGGTGTAAGGACTGGAAGTGGGAAGCCATCAGGCTCCAGTGATTGGAGGCTTAGAGTCTGGGTATATTTCAGAGATAAAGCTCCAGGCAAGCTCTTAAACTAATTGTGGTGAAATTTATCATCATTATTTTCCCTTGAAATAATTTATTTGAATTAATTTAACTTGAGAAATGAGTGCTCATTTGGACTCCAGAGTCAAATACCATGCAGCAAATACTTGAGTCTTGTGAGGAAGGTAGAAGGTACAACAGATACAGTACCTTTCTTCGAAGAGGTTGAAGTTTGGGAATATGGGACT